GAAAGAGAGGAGAAGAGAGAAAGAGAGGAGAAGAGAGAAAGAGAGGAGAAGAGAGAAAGAGAGGAGAAGAGAGAAAGAGAGGAGAAGAGAGAAAGCAAGAGCAACAACATGACCACGCATGACTTACAATGGTGAATAGGACAAAACGGATGAAGAACATTACCATGGCGATGCCGCCCATGGCTATCACGAAATACCGCCATCCCATGTTCTTCGAGCGCGTGCAGACTTCGTCCTCTTGACAGGTCAAGTTGCCCAGGATCGGCCAAGCGATCAGTGTTGCCAGCAGCTGGGCCAAGGCCCAATCTACGGACAAGACTGTCAGGAGGTACTGATGAGAACCGGGGAGGAATTCGAGGAAAATCGCAGAGTCGACAGGGAGGTTGCCGCCCACGCCAAAAGACCAGAGAGCAGCGAAGCAGCCGATGGCCGCGAAATTGGGCGAGCTGGCGGCGATGAGGCCGAAAACGCTCGTGATGCCGAGGGTCAAGTTGAAGCCCCAGCGGCGTCCAAAGATGTCGCAGCCAAACCCCCAAAACATGGCACCGGCGAGGAGGCCTATGTTCTGGGCCAGGGTCAATAACGGCGGCCTGGTCGGGCTGAATTCGTTGGTGATGGGCGTGAAGATAAGAGACGTGATGATGGGCCAGAGATTCTGCATGTTGGGGTCAGACAGACTTTAATAATGTAGAACAGGAACACAGCAGAGGGACGCGTGCTTGAATGGCACACAGCCTTCCAAGAGGCGAGAAAGAACAGCATACTTACGTCGCTGGCCCAGCCGAAGCCGACGACGATGAAGAGCTGCCACTGATACCATCCCATGCCTATGTCTTGAATGGCGCGGTTGAGGACTCTTGCTTTGGCTTCATAGACAGGATCAATGGTGCCTTTTGGGATGGCGCTCAAGTCGTCGATGCCAATGGCAACTTCGCTTCCTAGCCTGTTCCGATAGTCATTGCTGGGCGTATCTTCAATGGCGGATTTGGGGTCTTCGGCCATTTTGGTATTTTGCTTCTCCTTACAGGAAGCCTGACAGAAGAGAATTTCAGAAGTCAAAAAGTGCATCTCTCAGGGCGATGCCGATTATTAACGGGCCTTCACATCGTTACCTCCAGCCGCGTGGTAGGTGAGATATTGCACCATCGCAAGGATTGAGGGAGTGACGCAAGGCGATTGGCCTTGAGGGCCGATCAGGCTGGGGAATGTCTTTGCAGCCCCCCATTTCCCACCGAACAACTGGTTGTTCGGTACTCGGTCGCTTAGCATTACCAACTGTAGTCAGGCGGCCAGCTTGGATGGTCGTATATTGGTCAGGTTGTGATCAGAGATATCCAGCTTGTGTTCGGGTGAGGGGCGATCCGCCTGCGAAGTTTCGGAGTCGCTTGTCTTGTGTGACGTTGAGCTCGAAGGTGAACGAGGCTTTTGATTACTATCGGTGATCGACGGGTGATGAGCACCAGGCTGTTAAAGAGCCAATGCAATCTACCCCAACGCGGAGTCTTCAAGTACCACGAGGATATCAGTCGCTACCTGATAGATAATGCTGTTGCTGCTGGGAAGAGCACCCCTACCTAGATTGATGACAACACCTTCATGACTTGCTTGGAGACTCAGCAGAGGAGCTTTGCTTCACATGCTTGGACGTTTTACGCTCAGAGCTAGAGAGATATGAGGACCGCCGTGGGAATTAAAGAGTAAGGTGGATTTGCTGGTTAAGAAGATTTGACAGGACCAAGTAAGACAACGATCACTTTTGGTGTATTGGCATGCCAGCGGGTAAGTATTCTCAAAAGCTTCTGTTGCCCGCAAGGTGGTCCATCACAGACACTATTATTTTCAGTGAACTCAACTGTCTTATTGGATCCTGAGGAGCTGAGTGCTGCTAGATCTAGAAAGACTTTCGAGAAACCCAAGGTAAGGTAACCGTTAACGCAGTACTCCGTACGACCCACTCGGCTTCCTTCTCATGGGGATATCAAGCCTTCCTAATACGGCGGCGGATCACAGCCAGCAGCTGCTGCGTCGGGTCCTGGATGCAAACAGTTGTTCCGTTGCGCCTCGGGAACAATGACGCTGAGGATGACTTCCTTGAGAAGCTCTGGCCAATTGCGGTAAAGTACATTGGGCATGTCGTTTGGCGCGAAGCCATGACAGGGAATGCCAGTTGCTTGGTCGCCTGTCGCATTCTGATCGATCATGTTCGCACAAAGATTCACCTGAGGCAGGCTAGCCTTTCCCAACGACGCATTGACCGTAGTGATATTGACATCGATGAACTTCATACCGGGACAAGGCACCAACGGGGAGCAGTGGATGATCGAGGCGACGTCAAAGTGAGATGTCCCGGTTATGTTCTCCCAGGTAACGTTGGAGATTTGTAGCTTTTTGAGGACCCTTGTGTCAGCTTTCCGGTAGCAAGACAGTAGACGTAAGGACAGTCAAACGTACTTTGCTAGTATCGCAGATGCTGGGATCGTGCCCGTACACGCACTGAGTTACGCTGATAGGTTGACCTACGTTCTCGATCCTGAAGTTCCGGTAGGTCACATTGTTGATGAAGCCTCCGCCACCACCACCGGAGTCTCCGTTAGTGGTGACGGATGACGATCGACCTTGCCAGGCTTTGATCCATGCGCCATTCGTCGAGTTGATGAGATGGACATCCTCGTAGACTATGTCACGCACAAAGTCGGGATGGGTCGGATCCTGACCTACGGAGCCAATGGGCATGCCATGGGTACGATAGCAGGTGATGTTCTTGGATATGATGTTGGTGCTGTTCCCTTTGATTGCAATACAGTCGTCGCCTGCGCGGGTCAAGGTCAGTACAATGTCAGAGAAGCCCGTAGCCTTGGGCCACCCTGGTACGCCGCTGCACTGCAGGGCTTTCGGCACTTACCTCCTTGTACAGTCCAATTGTAGAAGAAAACGTCTCTGGAATTCCAGGTATCGGTGCCGTCGGTGTTGACAGTGAACCATTCGTTGTTGCTCGTGGAGTTCATGTAAATGTTTGACATGGTCACATTCTGAGAATGGGAAATGAATGAATGCCAAAACTGTGCTTGACTCCATGTTACGCCGTCCATCCAGAGGTTCTTAGCGTTGAGAATCGTGAAGGCGATAGGCCGACCTGGTTGGTTGCTGTTGTTACGATTTTCGTCGTACCATGCTTGGCCTATTGATCATGATCAGCCTCAGCCCATGCCTCGACCCTGGGATACTAGGTAGGTCACCATTTCCATCGAATCTCCCACTGCCAAAGCCTCTGAAGGTTACATTCTCTCCACCAAAGAACCATGCTGTCGACAGATTGGCGTAGGTTACCGAGTAGCTGTGGCCTAACCAGTACGGAATGTTATCGCTCCATACCATTTCACCATGGAGTTCAACGTCGCAGTTCGTCAATCCAGTTGTGTTCATCACCTGGTTGACGTGGAATGTATTGTTGGTGAGAATCACCGATCCATTAGTGCCGCAGAGCTCGAAAGCTTGCAAGATAGATGGCGTGTCGTCAACCGGCTGCCCAAAATGCGTCAAGGACTCCGGGTAGACATAGCAAGTGGAGCCGTTGTTCACCACATAGGCGGTGACGGATGAGACGATGCTCGAAAGGAAGAATATTGGAAGCATGCTTGAACTGTAGAGCGACTTGCCGATTGTGGTAGAGAAGGAGTAGCTCGACCTCATCATCCAAGTACGCCATCACTCCTTTTATACTCCTGATGGGATGCTAAACCCCAGTACCGTTGTCGGACATTGTGCCGTGGTTCCCAACGGTTATCGAGGCAATCGAGATACCTGTGTCTGCCCGGTTATGGCTGCCTCAAAGCCGAACCACCATATGCGACAGCCGCAAGTTTCCTCTGTCTCGAGAGGGGGTTGCGGGGAACCCTTGAGTTCGGTAGCATGTACTATGTATCATGCTGCGAGATAGCCTGATGGACTTAGGCAAGATGTGTTATTAGGCTGAAAAATGAGAGAATGGGAATGATCTGCTCGGAAGAAGGCCACGGCGCATGCCCGATGACGAGGCTGCGACCTGCGAGGCTGACCAATCATGAGGCTCGCATATTGTCAACTATGACGGAGACTTCCTCCTGCGCCCGAGTTCAGAATTCCTTCAATTCCCTTGTGGCGCGCTCACTCCATTGTCCGAAGCCAGTGATCTTCTGCCATGCAGGTTTTGGTTACAGGGACAAGATGAAGGATGTCAACAAACGATAATGTATTGCTTTCTGACGGTAAGACGGGACGCGGTCTAATGGCTTGACAGACCCCTCTACAGGCCAAACGTTTCCTTCCTCCTTCCTCCTCTTCCGCCTCGAAGTCACCTGCTTTCGCCTCGACGCGCAGAACCCCTTTCCAGAGCTCGCGCCCGACTCAGCCACTTTCCTCGACACCTTCATATGGTACTACTCCACGATTTCAGAAGCCAAGCATCGGGAAAGACGAGATCGATACCAGTTTTGAGGACGAAGCAGAATCGCCGACTGTCTCAAAGGGTCATATCACTGCCCAAAACAGGGATCTGATTGATATAGCGGACGAGCCTGAGCCCGGATCTCCTCTGTTGCATCGAAATAGTGCGCTCAGACCCTTTGCAAAGAAGCGCAAGCTTTCTCATCATCGACCGAAGACTGTCGAGACCATCACGATATCTTCTTCTCCTGAATATGGAGACGAAGACGAAGATCGAGATGGAGCGCTTTCACCGGCCTCACAGTCTGACTTGGAGGATTGTGCCAATACTGCAACACAAGCGGAACAATCGGCGAATGCTGTCCGTTTCAGAGCTCCCGTCCCAGGGAATGCTCCCACCTCGTTCGCAGCCAGAGCGGTCTTCAAGGTCGAGTCAGAAGAGGGCCAATCTGCGCAACTAGGATCCAAATCTGTGCTACCGGATATCTTTTCTCCTTCTCGCCGGAAAGGAAAACGGGAGTACATTACTGGCGGGAGCGCGGAACTGGTGAGGAGGTGGGTGCTTGGCGTCTCTGCGCAAGACTCTTTATCTACAGGCTTCCCAGGAATAAGCATCACAGTTTCTCAAGTGCGAGTTGATAGCAGTGGGCGGTTTGGTGTTGTTATTGATGAGACTGGATCGCAATGGCTTCTTCCAGACCAGCAACGGAAGGCAGGCATGGGCGGCGACTCTGACTTGAATGGCCTTCGTCCTGGTTCTCGTGTTCTTCTCAAAGGCCAGGCAACAAAATGGCCCCTCTATTCGGTTTCTGCCGATACAAAGGGTTTGACAGTAGCCGCATATTGGGAACCTATTGCACCCGGGTGAGGAATTCAGAGCTGTCAGTGCTGTCATAGAGCATTCAGCTTTGAAGCTTACACTCGGCAAAGTAACAAGCGGATGTGATGCTATAAACAATACCTACAGATACATGGGCACTCCCCCCTTATTCCGCAAGCCTTATGCGGCAGTGTGCGGCTAACGAAATTCAACGTTGTATGACGCCAATGTGCTCAAGTTTCGGGCCAGGACTGCTCGCGAGCCCTTCGTCAGACAGCCTATTTTCTATATGTTGACGTCAACACTCCAGGATAAGAGGAAATCAGGTCCCTGGTGCCGTTGCGGATCTACCTCTTGTCTAGCCTAGGACCGCTGTTTATCTGGGAAAGCGACTTCGCATTCACTGCAACAGGGTATCAGGAGTCACTGTCAACCTGAAACTTCGTTTGGACTGCTGAAACAACAGATAAGAAGCCATGGCACTCTTCCCGAGGGCGTCGTACTTCAAACTCTTCGCAATTCGAGATCTCAACTCAGCAGCTCAGCGGTCTCCACAGGGTTTGGCTCGAATATGGGCAGGCTGACACAGTACTGCATGCACCTCCTGCCCAAGGGCACTGTCAGGAATCTGAAAGCGGTCTCCTTCATTCTCGTGCTCATCAACCCGGAGTACATCCTGTCGAGGCTATCATGGCTTGCTACGAATGAATATTTCGCCTGCGCAGCAGCACTCTGCATTGCCCGAGGAGTCTGGTGTTACACTCTATCCTTTAGCGCTCAGACAGAGGACACGGGCGTTGATGAGGAAGTACTTCTAAGTCATGGATTTGGGCCGAGGATCTTCGAGTGCCTCACGACTCATACTCGGCTCTTTCCCACGAAACACTCATTCTCCTACTCTTACTTGCTAGTTGGGGTACCGATCGGTTGGCGTGGCTCTGCAAGTTCGATTCTGTCTTCCGATCTTTCCACCGAGGCATCAAGATTGGGAAAGAAATGGTTCTCGATAAATGCCGAAGATTACCTGGAAAGATGTCAGCACTCTGGCGGGCTGCAAGGCAAACTTCAAGACTTCCTAAAGACTCAGGACGTCTCATCAGAGGACTACCCTTACGCGTACCTTGTCACGGCGCCCAGATTTTGTGGCTTCTCATTCAATCCCGTGTCATTCTGGTATCTCTACGACGACAACAAACGTTTGGGCGCAATGATACTCGAAGTCAACAATACGTTCGACGAGCGGCGAACATACTTTCTAGCACGCAATCCCAACGGCGAGGATCTGGAGTCGTCGAAATTCAAGAATCACTGGGAGAAGGATTTCCATGTCTCACCCTTCAACGACCGTGACGGCTCATACAGTCTTGCAGCTACTGACCCTTTCGAGTCTGGCACGGCGACTAGTATCGACAACAATATCGTCTTGAATGCGCCGGATGGAAAGCCTAAGATAGTAGCAAGAGTCTTCTCCACTCAGCCAGGCATTGACCCGTCTAAGATGACAGCCGTACAATGTCTCTTCTTCGTCGCCCGATGGTGGTGGGTCGGCTTGATGACGAGTCCACGTATCCTGCGACAAGCACGCGTCCTATGGGTCAAGAAGTTACAGTTATTCTATCGACCCGAAGTGCTCCAAAGCAGTATTGGACGGACCGAGACGGCCGAGGAGGCGAAGCTCGAGTCCTTCTTCCGCGGCTTCATGCATAGGTTAGCAGATACTTCAAGACGCAGCATCAACTACTGTCCAGCTGCTGGCGACCAACGAGGCAAGTCCGTGCTCATCGAGAGCAGCGCCCAAAAGTTCGACGATAAACGACCAGAAAACATTGAGGTCGAGGTCAAGGTCATGACACCCGCATTCTATGCCGAAATAGGTCGAAAGTCGGATGTGCTGGAGGCCTTTGAGCGGCTTTGCTTCGAACCTGCGCAAGGACGAGCGATGGTGTACGTGTCAGATGCACATGTCCTCCGTGAAGCGTTGAAACTTGCACTCTCCCGATCTGTGAGGCCAGAACGGACAAGTCGACTCAGCAGGCTGAACGAGGGTCTCCGGTCACGCGACAGTCTCTTTTGCATTGCTCTGAAAGGCCTGAAAGATCTCTGTTCCCGTGTGTCCGAGGAAGCTGTGCCGGATAAGCCGAGGAGCTTCGACGGTTTCGTTCAGTCTGCATACCCCGAACCCGACACCTCGGTCTATGAGCGTACTTGCCTCAGGGTACTTCTAGCAGATCGGCTGGCATTTGGATATGTTGGGCTGATTTATTCGTACGTCGCAACCATCTGGGCGCTGGCGGTGGGGTTGACGGGCATGCATATCAATAGTCTTCTCCACGGGACTAAGGATTGCAATGGCTGGACCCTGATAACATTGGGCTTGAAACTAGGAGTGATGTTTGGTCTTGAGATGCTCAGCTCATGAAAAGCAGATAGAGTAGCATAGATCCGTCAATATGCCTGTATCAGACGAGTTCATATCAGTCATTGTCTTGATCAACTGGGCTTGCATGTAGGCCCGGCTCATACAAAGGCATAGAGTGATGGTTAGGGCTAATAGCATCGAGTAAAACCGCTGATCTGCCGCCATAATCACACGCCAAGTACAATTTCCCTGTTGAAACTTGCAATGATTATTACTATCATTGCGCTTGTCCTCCGTTGTTCGAAGTCACCGTCCTACCAATGTCTCAGTTGCTTGGTGCACTCAGCTGCTGGCCATAGCGCACGAGCCCAAATCTAGCTTCTTCGGTTCTGCTGATGGCGAGATATCGAACGAGAAGATATCCATGGGCAAGCCAATCGTCGTGCATGCATTGGGAATCTAGCAGACGACCGAGTCAGCTCGCGTTCAGGAGGAGCTCACACGCGCATAGCAGGTGGTTTTAAGGTCACTCACATCAACGATACCCGCAACATGTCCTTCAATCGGGATGCAGCTCAGCATCAGATAAATCTGGTAATCATCGTACCCAAAGCGTTTGAGATACTCGATGACGCGCAAGCAAGACTGGCGATACGCAACAGTAGTGTCCAGATAGTGCTGCTTGCCGTTCTCGTCGACACTGAACCCTTCGAAGTAAATCATGCGTCCGGGGCTGAATTGCGGCTGCACCGGGCCGGGTATATAGATTGGCGACTTGCCGCCGACCATGCCGAGCTTCTTCTGGCCGTCCTTGATGACTTCGAACTTGATGGTGATTTCGCCGGCGATCTCGATGGCACCGCAGAAGGAGATCTCGCCATCGCCCTCTGTCAATTTAGTTCGTCAGCCTTCGTAATCACATCAAATCAGGGCCGGCCAGAGTGGCCGGATGCCGGACGTACGCGAGAAATGCAAGTCTCCCACGGAGAATTTGGCGCCCTTGACGTGCACGGGCAAATAGACCTTGCTGCCGCGCGAGAGATTCTTGATGTCGCAATTGCCGCCGTGCTCGGGACGGCCTGGAATCGTCCTGGCGCCTTCCTTGCCGATGCGTTCCTTGGTCGCGTCGTCGGCAGATCCCGCATGCACGTTCTGCGGTTGAGGTGGTTGAGCGACGATGCGGGATAGCGAGGTTGTCGAGATGAGCTCGGCTTCCCGCCTGTTCCACTCGGCGAGGATCTCATGAGATGGTGCACAGCCGAGAATTCCTGGGTGAATGAGGCCGGCGAAGCGGACACCTGGGATGTGGCGCGAGGAGCAAAAGATGCCTTCGAAGTCCCAGATGGCTTTCGCTCTGTGTTGTGTTGTGTCAGTGTAAGCTGTTGAAGGGTGTTGTAGGCTTCTTACGCCTCTGGATATATCTCATCTAGAAACCCGCCGCCGTTATCCTTGTGGAAGACGCCTGTGAAACCCCATGGGTGGTCTTGGAATGGTTGGACGTCTTGGATCTCGACGAGCAGTACGTCGCCAGGCTCCGCAGTTTCGATTTCGAAGGGCCCGGAGAGATAGTGGATTTGGGTCAAGTCGACATTTTTCACATCATCTGCACTGTCGTTGTTCTTGATCTGTCCGCCCGTCCAATCTAAGCATTCGATCTTGACGGTCTCTCCGTTCTTGATTGTGCCGCAAAAGGGGACTGGGATCGTGGTCAGTGGGGCTAGGTTCAAGGTATAACTTGTAGAAGATACCGTCAGGGTGCCATCTATTCTGTACAGTTGTTAGCTATGCCCTTCAGAGCTCTTTTGACTGATTCTCACATGGAGACAAGGCTGGTCTTTCGCCGGCTTGTCAAGGTCGACCTTCACGGCAGTTCTGATTTTCCCAGGCATGGTCTCGTCTCGGCTGCTCGAAGAGGTTCAGATGAGGCTGGCAGCAAAGGAGAGAAGGGCTGATGCAAGCTCGATTCCGATGGAAGCTGTAGCGTGTGATCGTGGACTCCCGAGTAGCTCGACCGCGCAGATGCGTGCATCATATCAGAAATGTTTACTGCTTTGCGGGGCATGGCGATCGTATCTTGACCCCTCATGGGCAGCGATAGGCACTTGTCCGGTGATGATCGTTATTGATCTGGCGGAGCTTAGGGATTGGCATTTGATAAGGCTTCTGGTACCAGATCCAATGGCCGCGAAGTGGTGTTCTGCTTTAGGCCAGGAAAGGCAGCTATGCATGCTGGACGAATGGATCATTTTCCCCGCTGTGCCTGAGCAGATGAATGAGTTCTCGAGTTACGTAGTCGATACGAGTAACGGTTTGTTGGGAATAATCGCTGTGGGACCATGAACGCAAGGACTCTCCGTTGTAGCGGGCTTCTCCTTGGGACTTTGGCGCTTGTCCTTCCAAGTCCACAATTGCAGGGTACACGTGAAATACCCAAGTAGACAAAAGCTCTGCGTCGACCATGATATGCAGACTCTCCTGTGACGAGGACATCGGGATGACAGGTGTGACTTGAGAAATGCTATTTGTTTTCCAGTTGTTCAGGGACAACATCAACTGGAAGGCTCTGACGCAGGTGTCGATGCGGGTGTCGGTTCTTTGGTGCTTGTCGCTGATTCCTTTTTTGCCGGGCTTGTGTCAATCTCAAGCGTTACCGGTCCATCATTGACAAGGCTGACTTGCATCATTGCTTGGAACACTCCATCCTTGACTCTTTCAGCTTGATACTGACCACGGACCCGAGCCACGAAGTAGTTATACAACTCCTGCGCAACTTCGGGCTTAGCTGCACCGTGGAAATCTGGCTTGTTCCCCTTCTTGGTGGATGCGAACAGGGTGAATTGAGACACGCATAGGACTTCGCCTTCAATGTCCTGGACGCTCTTTTTCCAGTTGGCACCATTTTCATCAGGCCATAACTTCATTTTGAGGATCTTTGACGCCATCGACTCAACATCCTTTTTGGAATCGTGGGGCCCGATCGCCGCCAGTACCAAGATTCCTTTGCCAATGGCTGATACGACCTGGTCATTGACAGTGACTGAGCTTGAGAGCACTCGTTGCAGTACTGCCTTCATCCTGTGTTAGAGGCGCGTCCACTTCCCGAAAGCGGCCCTGGAAAATCTGGCAAGGACGTCGATCCTGAATCTCTCTGCTACCGACAGGAGACTCGAGAAATGACGCGTGCTGAAGCCCGTATAAATTACTGGAGCAGTCGGCTGGGAAGCAGCTGCGTCCTGTGCCACCGAATTCGGAAACTGGGTGATGCCGCCCTTGCTCCCACCGACTCACTGGTCGTGGGGGCGAAATCCTAGCACGATACCATAACCTCTTGTAGCTTAAACCCTCGGCTTGCGCGAGTCAGGGTGACGGTCGTTGGGGATAAGCCATGGTGACCTGCGATGCACCACAAGCACAGTTACTTGTATACCCGTCCGTATGTATCAGGCCGCAATCTAAAGAAGACACGCTTAAGAACGACTCGCAGTTATGCTGTCGGTCCTGATTCGCAAGATTTGCAGAGGACGATTTGCCGGATGTCTATCGTCGATCTCAGTCTCATCTTGCTAATCATCTACATAAAATAAATCCCAGAAGTCGCACTGGTGTCGATCTCCCCATCTATCTATCACTTGAGAGTTTGCCGTGCAAAGTAACATAACATTGTCATCTTGAGCGTCGTATACAGGCCAATAAGTTTCAATGGGCGACCAGGCCTCCTTCGGGTTTGGTGTTCCATGCCGAGCGAAGGATGTCCAACGGAATACCATCTGCTTCGCAAGTTGCTCCTGGGACTTGTTGAGTGGATGTGGTTTCCCACCGCCGCCACAAAAGAGTGGAAAAATGTATTGGAGCTCTGAAGCATGTGCAGATCCGTAAGGAAATGAGACTTCAGGCCAAGCGGTGGGCGAGTCAGCAACATCGAACTCGTATGTGTAAACGTCGCTGACGAATTGTTTGATAACTCGAGCGGTGCGCCGGCCAGCAGTTGAGATCAGACCTGTGTCTCCGAGGACCGCAGCAAGTGTACGGCTTGGTTTAGGGTGTAAGTTGACAGGGTATCGCTGTATAATTATACTGACTGCCTCGTCTGGAATTGTCAGTCCTAGGATCCCGAATTGGGCAACCATCTTCAAGGCAAGAGTGAGTGTTGCTGGATACATCTCGGCCGTTAGAATCTGTCCGGTAGTCAACTCCATCATGCCTTGAAACCAGGAGAACTCGTCCCGATTGACACCGATGAGTAGAGGCACTCGGTTGAACTTTCCGGTCCTGAATTTCTCACGGAGTGCGCTTGGAACAACGAGCCCATCTTCCATCAACCCCACCGTATACTGGCCTGTGCCAAAAGCACCTGAAGGCATGGCGTTGGTGACCAAGATCTTCTCTGCCGAAAGAGCCCTCAGTTCCGCAGGCGTTTGTGTCCTACAGCCAGCCGCGGACGCCAGCGCGGTTCCACGTTCCGCCCGTGATTCAACTGTGGGAAACGCAATTGTAGGAGGAGAACCACCGCTTTGAACAATTGCTCTGTGAAATAGGCCGGCAGAACGAGGTGATGCCATATGTGTCATGACGCTGATGCCCCCAGCAGATTCTCCCATAATAGTCACATTGGTGCGATCGCCACCGAAGGCTCCTATATTGTTCTGAACCCATTCGAGGGCGAGCTGTTGATCTATGATGCCGTAGTTACCGATGGCATGGTCCTCCGCATTGATCGCTGGGTGTGAAAAGAACCCAAAGATGCCGAGTCGATAATTCAAAGAAACAAACACTACATTCCCGTCCATGACAAGCCACGAGGGGTTGTAGTCGTTGCTACCGCCGCAGAAGAACCCTCCGCCAGGGAATAGTACCATGACGGGTAATTTCTCATCAGCTTTCTGGTGGGTCGGTGTACAGACATTAAGGCAAAGGCAGTCCTCGGAAGTACTGGTGTAGCCAAAGCCCGGAAAGCACGAACTGTCCTGCGCGCAGACGTTTCCAAATTCTACCGCATCTAGAGGCTTGACCCATAATGGTGGTGAAATTGGCGGCCGCCAGCGTAACGAGCCAACTGGTGGAGCAGCATACGGGATACCTAAGAAGTGCTGGATGCCATCTTGTATGAAGCCTCTGACAGGTCCGTGGTTGGTGACAATGGGTTCAGTGCGCTTGTCATGACTGACTGTCGACATGATTACTTTGTTTGGTTCAAAGTGAGCTGCTTCGCAACCATTCATGACCCTTGTTTCTCCCATGGCACTGATCCCGTCAGCTAGATATAGTGGTACAATCACATGGACAAGCTGATTGTGGCCATCGAGGAAGCTAGGCAGACCATTCCCTTTTTTATTTGTGTTATCATTGACATTCGAGCCTCCGAAAGCACCAGGAAGGCGTGTTGTCGAGTGGAGTCAAGCCCGGCCCAAGCACCACACGAGGGCGTCTATCACAGGAATAAGAGACACATTGACTGCCTGAAAATGCCACGTACTGACTTAGATGTGTCGCGTGGTTTCTAACCGAGGGTTTCATGGTTCGTGTTTATGCCGGCTCTGGTTCCTCTCATACTATGCCGAATAATGAGACCGAGAAATTGGTCCGGGGCAATGCAGCCATGCTGGACGTCCAAGTATCCCCCACGAGCCGGCACGGTACTGCTCCAGGTGGAGATCAACATGTGGATCTGCCATACCTGGGGTCATCCCAGGAGCTGAGGAGCTGGTTTTCAACTGTCTCCTATTTGGACCAGACTCTCAAACGTGTTGCAACCATCTTCGAGACTTCACGCCTGTGTATGCAAAAGTCATGGCGATCAGCCTCGTAGCCTCTGCAAGCTTGGCTTTGGTGGCAATTCTAGTATTTTCCGCTCTTCGAACTGCCCTCAGAGCAGGACTGCGAGACCTCCCAGGCCCGTTTTTGGCTCGATTCTCAGCACTGTACCGTTTGTCTTTGGTATACCGTGGCAAGGCACCCTTCGAATATCGGAAATTACACAACAAATATGGCCCGGTGGTCAGGGTAGGACCAAATCATGTGTCCATTTCGGATCCCGCAGCGATCCCCCAGATCTATGGCATTGGGAGTGACTATTTGAAGGCAAGTTGGGATGGACACACTATCTTGACCGTTAACTAATTTCGAGTCCCAATAGACAGAATTCTACGTAGTCTTTACCCCTTATTACAAGGACAAGCCTATGGATAGTCTGTTTACGACCCGAGATCCCACCTATCACAAAAACCTCAAGAGACCGGTAGCACAGCTTTTCTCTATGACCAACATGAAGAACTACGAGATATACACCGACGAATGCACTAGGATTTTCATCGACACGATGCACGAACTGCAAGGCCAGCCCGTGGATTTGGGGGCATGGATCCAGTGGTACGCATTCGATGTGATCGCTTCTATTACATTTCAACGGCGCTTCGGGTTTTTAGAGAACCGTTACGACGTCGACCACATGATAGCAGACCTCGATTTTGCCTTCTTGTATGCGAAGATTATAGGCCAGTTTCCAAACCTCCATCCTTATCTTGTTGGTAATAAGACTCTCCTGAAAACATTGGAGAGGCTTGGAATCGAACCGCCTGATCCGCTGGCTCGATTTTTAAATGTATACTCTATCCATCTCCACTACTGAGTATACTAGGATGCTAAGATCCCAACCAGATAACAGAAGAAGAGATCAAAAGATATGATGATCAAAAGAAGGAAAACGGCAGAACCGATTTCCTGGCGCAACTACGAGCCAAAGAGGCCAAAGACGGTCAGGTCCCACACCGTGATATGGTGAATCACTTAGCAAACAATATGTAAGTCGTTCTAGAATTCCAAAGAAGAGTTCAGTATATCTAAGTCGCGAGTTAGCCTTGCCGGGTCAGATACAACTGCAATTTCACTGAGAGCTGTCTTCTACTACCTCATGAAAAACCAGTCTACGTACAAGAAACTGGTCGCAGAGATTGATGAAGCGGAGAAGAACAACCAGCTATCTACCTTTGTGACGTATGAGGAGTGTCTGAAACTCCCTTATCTGTACGACGTCCTTTGGATATTCAGTCCTATATTGCGCAAATTTTCTCTGACCTGCTCGCTTGTAGGCAAGCTGTGATGAAAGAAGCTCTACGGATTCATCCTGGGGTGGCGTTTCCTCTAGAGAGGTGCGTGCCTCCAGCAGGGGCCGACCTTGGCGGATATAAGCTCCCAGGAGGCACCAATGTGAGTGCTAATCCCGCGGTAATTCATGTGGACAAGGATATCTTTGGCAACGATGCGAACAGGTTTCGGCCAGAGCGATGGTTGGAGGCGTCGCCAGAGCAGCTGAAAGCGATGGATCGCAGCTTTCTGGCGGTAAGTGCCCTTTTCGAGAGGAGGTGATCTTTAGAATCGCATACGCTGACTGCTCCAGTTTGGTTACGGTGCCAGAACTTGCATTGGGAGGAATATCTCAATTCTGGAAATGGGCAAGTTCATTCCCCAAGTGTTGAGGCATCTGGACGTCAAGTGGGCGGCTTCGGAGCCAGAATGGAAAACAGATGCGGCTTGGTTTTGGCGACAGACTGGAGTCCACGTCAAGTTTGGTTGGAGGGGGAAAGTGTTGTGATCGAGGCTGCCCCCTAGCTACCTAGGTAGCTTGACATGAGCATCTGTCAAAGGCTGGTAAGGCTAAGCCTCGCCAGAGAGCCAGGACTTCCCACGCATTCGTAGGCATTCAGGACTGTATCTAAGCACTAATCTCCCAGAAAGCTTAGACAGACAACATAAGATTATTTCGTACCTAGAAGAGTCCATAATTCTATCAGTCAAGCCTCAGTAACAAGACAGCATAGCCATAACAACAATAGCCCTGTACACAAGCCCTATTACTAGCCAACCAGATAGCGGGACCTATGCCACAAAATCGAGCTCAGCGACCAATCGGAGAGTCTTTTCGGCCTCATCTCGCCCCTGGGGACATGGAACCTGTCTAACCCATCGGAGTACTGGAGACTTCCAAAGGGTGGGGAAGATTCCTGGGGCATGAAGATCCCCTGGGGTACGATATAAAGAGCAAACCTAGTCGTTGAGCAAGTTCTCCAGGCCTTGCGTTCGGTGCAGTTCCATGATACTTTCTTTCTCACGTTCAGGTAGCATGGGTTCCGAGAACACAGAGGCTGCAGTAGCCAGCGGCAATTTCGGTGTGGTCCAGGTTCCTCTGCCCACATCAGCGACTGCCAACCATGGCGGCGACAAAGAATGGTCTCACACTGAAGAAGCCGAGCAGGTGACAGCAGACACGGTCGATTTGGTCTATGACAATGCCGATGAGGAGCCCGAGCTTCATGCCTGCACATACGTCGCCGTGGCCGCCATATTCATCCTGTACTTGGTCCAGGTGATGGCCCTTCAAGGTCCTCCAGCGGTGGTGAGCTTCGTCCTGCTTTCTCTCCATTTCTTCTCTCTTATATCTCTCTAGTGCAGTTTTTGGCCAGGATATAGCTAACGTATTTGTTGCAGCTCTCGTATATCGCAGAGGACCTCAATGGGGAAGCAGCAGAAGCATGGGTAGCAAACTCCCTGAACGTGGTGCAGGTGGTGTTATGTCCACTTCTATCCTCCATCGCCGACACCTTTCAAATCCGGAAGACCTTGATCATCGGGTCCAATATCATCTCATTCATTGGGACCGCCATCGCCCCAGGCTCAAAGGATATCTACAGGATTATTGCCGCCCAGACTCTGATTGGATTTGGCTTTTCCACAGTTCCCTTGATGTATTGCATCCCCAGCGAGATTCTACCCCGAAAATGGAGACCAAGTAAGTGAATTGCCGGAGAGAACATTGATGCCCAGCAGGGAGATGCTCTGCAGCTACAGTATATGACTGACAGATTTGCTCTTCCAGTGGCCCAGGCGATTGTCAATATCGGGGCCTGCCTGGGCGCCGTAATTGGACCATTGTCTATTGGATCTCTTGTTAGATCGAACAAAAGCAATGGCTGGCGAACCTTCTACGTATGTATAAGTTGTACAAGTTCCCCCCAGATAGCTGCGAGGCTGACAAGATCTTCTAAATGTTTCCAGTGGATCGAGATGGCTCTCTTTGGAGCTGGCACTATTGGCGTCCTGGTCGGCTACCGACCACCGAAACGACATACCCGATATGATCGTCTGTCTATCTGGCAGAAGATTGGACGGATTGATCTTGTGGGCTCGGCTCTTCTCACTGTCGGCCTCACGTTGCTTTTGACAGGGGTAGGTCTAGGCGGAGAACTGTATAAATGGACAAACGTCCGTGTTCTAGCAACCTTGATCACGGGCGTGGTTGGATTTCTGGGCTTTTGCTTATACGAATGGAAAGGTACCAGCACTGGAATTCTCCACCATGGTCTTTTCAATGGAGACATGCATGTCGGTGGAACATTCGCTCTCTGCATAGGTTTGATCATGGTAGAAGGGCTGATGCTCTTCGCATACGTAATCTTCTATCCATCGTTGTGGGTACCCTTCCCTGCTTCCAAGGCTCACCGAGCCAAAACTGACCACATCTCTTTCACTCTGTTTAGGACCAAAGCACTCTTTGAGACCGACCCTTTCCTGCTCACCGCTCGAGGCACACCCTTTTGGATCGCATGCGGCATCTCAACCATCGTCTGGGGATATCTTAGCACCAGATTCAGGACTATTCGAGAGCCCATGTTTGCGGGTTTCCTGGTCTTCACAGCTGGTGTGGTCGGAATGGCAACCACACAGCCTAGTCACTCCACTAACCTGGTCATCTTTGCAGCACTGACAGGTATTGGTTTTGGGGCCCCGCTTATACTGGTTGTTGCAGCCGTGCAGCTCTCATCGCCCCACGACCTGATTGTCACAGCTACGGCTGTCATGACCTCCGCCCGAGGTGTAGGAGCATCCATTTTCATCGCCATCTACTCTGCAGTGGTGACCGATCAACTGCACAACAAAGTCCCAAAGTACATTTCCAAGGCTGTCCTCGCTGCCGGTCTACCGCCAAATTCGATCCGTCCTTTCGTTCAAGAACTTACAGCCGGGGAGATTGATGCTCTGGTTCAAATCCCAGGTGTCACATCCTCCATCATTTCTACAGGCGCCTTGGCTATGAAAAGCGCTTACGCGGATTCCTTGAGAGTCGTGTTTATCATTGCGGCTCCGTTTGGTGCGTTGGCCTGTATCGCATCTTTTTTCATCATGGATGTGCAAGAAACCATGAACTACCGGGTGGATGCACCACTGGAAGACCTTCACGCCAGAACTCACCATGGGAATCATCGTGACCACCATCGCCACCGGGTACAGCCAGCAGAATGAGGCTGTTTTCTCCGAGGGGTTGCAGACAAGGGCGTGTGAGAGGGAGAGGAGAGAAGACGAACAAGAGGGAAGTGATGAGGACTATGTTATCTTGAATGTCGTACGATATCATGCAGTCTATGAAGACGTTAAGCTGAAAGTTCCCATTGGATGTGCTTGTAGAAAGTGCTTTATTCTCCTTAAGTTCATTTTGTTGTCGTTCGACTATCTATTTATTTCTCCACGAGTAGAGTGGATCTCTCTGAAGTACTGCTTGCATGCCATATCGTAGACTATATCATAATGGAGTTGCGAACTACTCACAACGATGAAATACAATGCTATCCGATATGTCTATGTGCAAGTTGAAAAGTAATTCTGTGGATGTCGCTTTACAAGGCTGCCCAGTGATGGTACACTGTCTTGAACGTTGAACGCGACACATGCATGATCTTTGAGAGCAAGTATTCCGCGTGTACGACGTCGAGTTTTCAGGCTACAGGCGCCGTCCTTGCAGTCAAAATATCTATGAGGTAAGCTAGTCTGATACTCTGACCCAGCTACCTCCGGAGATGGAACTGCACAGGTAGCGGCGGCTTCTCCCAAAAAACGTAGTTCTTATTCATCTTGACCCAGTCCAGGGTGTCGTCCTTCAATTCCATGTCAAATTTCCACATAATTTTGGCCAAAATGAGGCGGAGCTCAAGTAGGGCGAGACTAAATGTTGGTTTCGTAAGTTAATTTTGTGTTTCTAAGACGACAAAGGTTGCGTCTGAGTCAATTGGACTTACTGGCGGCCCAAGCAAACTCTGGCTCCGAGGAGGAAAGGCTGACTGGCATCTTTGTCGTCCTTGCACTCTTGATCCAGCCATCGTTCGGGGATAAATGCGAACGCGTCGTGGAAATTCGCCTCGACATGTCCGGCCACCCATGTGTTGACCGACACAATCGTGCCTTTTGGAACGAAGTGGCCGTCTACGATCTCTCCAGGACTGACCCGGGGCAGGCCGGCGGCGATTGGCGGATACAGTCTGAGGCCCTCGTCGATGACCGCCTTGAGATACGGAAGGTGTTCGGTGGTGCGACCCGTAATCTCCTCATAGTCGGCAAACGCTCCTCTTATTTCGTTGCTCAGTTTCTTGTATGCTCGACTGTCGCGGCACAAGAAGTATGTGATACCACATAGAGCTGTGGCGGTGGTCTCGCTACCAGCAATTGTTAGGAGAGTGGCCTGGGATTGAAGCTCTCCAAAATGAAAGCCAGTCCACTCTTTCCTTTCACTTATCATCTTGTGCAAAAAGTCCATCCTTTCGGGAGGGTGGGCCAGGCGCCTTGGACCTCGCCATTAGCCAAAGGAACGTGATCCCACGAAGAGAGGGTGGATCGAATACTCACTTTGAGAGTTTCTCATTTGCATAATTGGCCATCTTCGCCCTGAGAGCGTAGACTCTGCGTGGCAAAAGCTTCAAGTTGAGTGCGCCCCTCAACAGAGTCCGTAAGAACGGCGAATACTCAAACGATCTCATGAAGTTGATGTTCTTGATCGAAGCAAAGAGGATATCAATCCAGTAATGCGATTCACCTGTCGTTAGCAGACATTTAGTGGCCAGATTCAAGCAGCTGTCGGATATCACTGACCAGATTCGAGACAACCGAAGGGCTCGCCAAAAGCCAGCTCTCCTATAATATCAAAGGTGATGTAGTTATACCATTTTGTCATGTCTCCTGGGACCTTGGTGTAGCGCCTTTGGATCTGGTCGACGAGTAAATTGACGAAGTGGTGAACACGATCTTCCTGACCACCGAGGGCGCTGGCGGAAAATCCGTGGCTAAGAGTTTTGCGCATGGCCGCATGGCGGGCAGGATCTGATTCCGAAACGATTTGATGAATGTCCTCGGGAAAGGGTTCATAAAACGTTCCCTTAAGAAAGGGTTTGCGACCCGGTTTGTGACCATGGACATCCTTCCAACTGGCACTGCTACAAAATGAGAGCTGGTTCGGCGAGATTCTCACTACTGGACCGTATTGTTCGTGAAGCTCTTTGATGCTCCACAGATTATCGCCTGACAACCAATGTTTCATGGCCCAGAAAGGTGCGATTTTGACTCTGGTCGGCCCAGGGAACCTCCTCAATGGGTGCAGCCATAGGTTGTAGCCGCAGTAGATAAAAGGCAGCAGGAGAACCTAGAAGATGCCGAGATTAGAGCTGATTATCATGTTCACGTCCAGGCAACGCACGCTTCCCAGGCAAAAGAGAAGAGCATCCGCTCTCCCAAGTGATGCGATGGCGGCCAGTCCCAGTGCGCCCATTGTGATAAAAAAAGCTGACTGGAGACAACGATATGGAAAATCTTGAATCTGGGCATCGACACATGCAGTGTACGCTCCAATGCCAGCTCGGATATATGTGGCGACACCAGCCCATAAAAGCCAATGCTGAGACGTCCATTGAAATCAACAGGTGGTTCGCTTGTGGGAAACCCCGTGGAAGAGACTTTGGTGATCTTGACGTTACCACCAACACGTACTCCGTAGACCATAACGATGGGCTCCGGAGGAATTTCTCGGTGCAATTCGTGACTGCGTGTATTGAACCTCCGTCCACGCTGGACAAATCCGTGGCTGGACTTTGGGTTTGCCGGCGCGGGGCCTCCATGTCCCCAGACTTTACTTCCCACACTCCCGTGCATACGAGAAGTCACGCGGACGGGAAAAGGAACCCTGACATTGATAAATTAAGGAAGAGGCATGGTGGGGCGGTTGGATATCGGCTCCGGGGCTTCAACACCACGGCAGAGTGTTCGCGGCGCCTTGCTGCAGCTTTTTGCATCAAGAGGACCACAGACAGTCGAGCCAGGCTGAGCTCAAATTGTAAATGTCGAATCTGCCAGCGTCAAAACGGCAACGAAGAACAAATGTGGCGTGCCATGCTTGTCGCAGCCGCAAAGTGCGGTGTAGCAAGGACCTCCCTTGCTGCTCGAACTGTCGCAATATCGAGCAGCCCTGCAATTATCCCTCATCAACACTGAAACCTGGACCCAAACTAGGAAGTATTCACAAGAGACGCAGGTTGGAAAGTCAACTTCATTCCCCAGAATCTTCAGACCTGGAGACTGCGACAGCGACAACGCCAGCGGTGAGGGTGCCTCGGAACGATGAACACCATCAGGCTTCCCATCCAGCGCCGAACTCGCCAATCCCTACTTGTGAGACGCTTCGATGTTCCGAACATCTTGAGGCTGTATCTTTCCTTTGCCGGGTGTCGAACGAATCTTCATCTCCAAAGAGCGCGGGACTGCCGGCGCCTTCCATAGACGGCGGCTTGAGCAGACAAGGCATGGTGCTCAGGGTCTGCTATGGCTTGGGCATAACATTGGACTCGATGAAACAGATGTAGGTTCTTATGTCTTCTCACACTCCTGTTTCTCGCGTTCTGGCCGAACTGTCTAACGTCTTTAGGGTACACACTTTCTTTGCCACCTTCACCTCTTTTCGACTGTTCCGAGAGCCAGTCTTCTGGGAGGACCTGAGTCAGACTTCTTCCGAATTACCTGTCAGGGCACTTCTCACTGCCATGATTGCTTTTTCAGTCAATCATATGTGTGGAAAGACCCTGACTGGGTACGAGCAATTCTCATCATCCGACTTCATGGAACAGGCGGTGCGCGACGTCGGCGCCGCTCTGACCGAATGTGGTGATGACCCTCCGCCTCTATGTTTGCTCCAAGCTCTGATTCTAGTGACTCATGGGCTGTTGATCAGGGGTGTTCGTGGGAGAGCGTGGAGGCATCTTGGCCTTTGCATACGGATCGCTCTGGAATTGAATTTGTATGCAGTGGACGCAAACAAGGATCCGAATGCTTGCTCTACAGATGTGGAGCAGTGGTGCAAGGAGGAAGAGCAGCGGCGCGCCTACTGGGCTATATGGGAGATGGATCAATTCGCAAACCATCTCAAACATATTCCTATGACCGTGGACTGGACGCAGAACTACGTGCTGCTTCCTGCTGAGGATGAGAAATGGTTTCGCGGCCAGCCTCAGCGGAGTTGTTTTCTAGATTCGGACCTGATCACACGATCAAAGACCCTCCATGCCACGGGAAACAAATCCGACAGAGCTTGGTATATTGTGATGGCTTCTCTGAACCCCGAAGCGCACGACCTAGCCTACCCCAGCGAGAGAATCTATCGGGCTTCGGGACTGGGAAAGGTCGTCTTCGACAACAAAGACGGAGAACCCTCCAAAGAGTGGATTTGTTCAATCTTGTTCAACGCAATCCAGCTCTGTACCATTCTGCTACCTCCAGAGCTGAAATTCCAAGGGCAGTACCTCGAGTTTGGCACAAGGACATTCGGAAAAGGTACCGACTCGGCGAGCCTGCACAGCCAGAGCTCGATATACCTGTTGGCGATGATGCCGGAGATCGCGAGGCTGCTTGCTCTCCGTCCGTATGTAGTTGAAGCGTTTGCGCGAAAGTTTCTCGACACGACGGACAAAGATGAACGTTGCAAGTCAATGCGAGAACCCTCCACACGGTCCCAAGGAGCGACACGTGAGGTCACACAATGTCGCAATGCTGCCGAGGCCGTTCTGAATATTGCCGCGAACTGTCACGAGAAACACTACCAGTACGTCAACCCATACGTGGCCAGCGCCTCTTGGCTAGCCGCGACCACGAATCTGCTGCTACAAGAGTTGTCCGAAGACCAGTCGGAGAAAAGTATGATACGGGCGAAATTCGAAGTCTTGAAAGCCACCAACGATCGATTCATCCAGTATTGGGACATGTCTACCGTTCCGAAGCAAAATCTCGACACCTTGGCTAATAAGCTGAAGCAGTTTACGGCTCACCCTGAGAACGTAGCGAAACGTCGAGACGAAAACAGGTCAGAATCGGCATCGGCCGGAACACGACTAGGGTTCAAGTCCCCTCCAAGCGTGGGTCGACCTGCACGTTACACTCGCAAAGACTGTGGCCGACACGGTGGGGATACGCACACACCATCGGGCTCTCGCCGTGTATCCGGTCAGGCACAAGCAGCGGTGGTGGTGGTGGCGGCGGCGGCGGCGTCGTCGTCGGCGTTATCATCATTGTCACCGAGGAACAGGACTAACGTTGGCATGGACGCGGGTCAGACTCAGGACAAGAATGTCGCTCTTGATAGCAGCGCACATATGCACGTTCAAGGGGTCGCGGCAGCGATGGATGCCGTGCTGTCGCCCGATCAAGTGTTCGAGCCCACCATGCATTCAAATCTCGATTCTGACTTCGGTCTGGGAGATCGCAACGTGAGCTTGCTCTCACACAATCCGTGCACTAGGGCCCACGGCCTAATTGCCGGGACAGGTTCAGAGCAAGATTATGCCACGACTTCTCACTGGGAGGCACCCGAGCTTGAGCAGTCCCATATACAGGGGACCACGAACAGTAATCCGTCGGACTGGTTTTCGTTCTACCCTGACGCCGAGTTTGGTGGAGATCTATTGGAATATTTCGATGTCTTCTCGGGTCCTTTTCTCGGGTAGAAGCTTGACGTTTGCGTTTTCCTTTCGCGGGGCTTACGGCGCGTTGTGAGCTTTCTTTGCCAACCACGGTTAACACTACGTTGCTATTATTGCTGGCCCAGGCTTTGGCTCTGGTGGAGAGGAATGTACATGATTTTGTGCTCATGTGCCTATACAGGACGCACTATGTACCTTGCATTCCGTTCAAGCGGTGCTCGTTGAGTCAGGTCGCGACGTTGTTTTTGTCTGACTATATCAGGAAATGTAGGACTACCCGGCTCATTATCACTTCTAGGACCATTTGTTGCTCTCAAGAAATCACGTCTAGCCCTCAACTGGGGCTCTTGAAGAATCTCTCCAACGCCTCTGTTGTTTCGTTCGGGCACTCCATAGGCCAAAAGTGACCTCCGGGAATAAATTGGACTTGAACAGTCTTCGCATTGGGGATATGTTCTGGTCCGATTGATTCGTAAAACTCCCGGGGCTGAGTCTTACTTTCATACCCCTGTAAAATCAACACGGGACACTTCCAAGCGGCGAGCAAACGGCCTCGGCGTTGAAGCCACTCGGAGCGAAACGAAGATGAGTTGAAGTAGCGCGGAACGGCGCGGGAAATGCCTGGGTATGAGAACTCCTGGATCGCTCTCTCAATCTGATGCCGGGGGAGCTGTCTTGTTCCCAGGCTTGCATGGGCCCACACGATGAGTTTCCTCGGGTCGTCCAGGATTCCGTTGTAAGGGGCATCCATGAAAAGATCGCCCTGGGGCGCCAGGGAAGGGTGGAAATGAAACAGGTGCTGCTCACCACGCGCATAGCGTAGCACATGGTCGGGGTGGTTTGCGACGATAAAGTCCGCTTGGACGGTGCCGCGGTCGTGCGTGATGAGGTTGAATCGCTCGAGACCGCTGATCAATTGCAGCATGGCGAAGAGTTGTTCTCCCGCTCCTTCGTGGCGGTAGTCGCCTGGCTTCTTGTCAGACTGCCCATAGCCTTTCAGATCCGGGGCGATGCATCGAAACGTCGCCGAGAGTTTGGCCATCTGCATATGCCACTGATACCATGCATCAGGAATGCCGTGAAGGAAGACAATCACTTCACCATCCGCAGGACCTGTCTCGACATAGTGCCAGCGGATGACTTCTCCATCACCCGGCCCCAAGATGAAGTGGTGTGTGAACGTCGCTCCTTCTAGAACTTCCGTATCGCCATCTTTGTTTTCTGAACGCGGCTTGACATGAGCGAATTTGGCAACTTCGTCTCTGATCTCCTCTTCGGAGAGGAAGAGCTGGCCTGCCACCATCTTTTCCGCTCGTGCTGGCAGGGACGTGTATTGAAGGCTTGAGGGCGTCGCCATGTCGTACGTAGCTGCTGTAAATGACGACGTGCTGGTTATTGGGCCGATGTGATGGACTTTGTTAGGCTGAGCCGCTCCTTTAGTAACTAAGTGGCTTGTGGATGCCCTCGTTGAGATTCTGCAAAGCAAGCAGCCGGCATCTTTACAGCAACCTTAGTTCTGACGAGCGTGATCTTACGGTATCGCTGAATTCCACCTTTTGCTATCTCGCTGGAAAGGTGTAGGAAAATGGCCCGAGGAGTCACTCCGAGAAATCCCTCCGAGCAAGCACTCGTTCCAAGACGTTCCACATTCAAGCGAAGTCATCCAGAAAGTCATAATTCTCTCCCTTTATTGCAATTCCTATGCCGCACAAGATTGGCCATCTCGACGGCTGACTAGGAAAGGATCCATGCTTCGTTCCTGTCCAAAAGTTCTTTCACACTTCCACAGAGGTCAGTGCCCGGTAGCTCATTATTGATCTTATATCCTTTCTGTTCCATCGCCCACGACAGAAATCGGTAGCTCTTCCGCTTGCTAGCGACTGACTCCAGAAACCCCGGTTGCTCAGAGATCGCGGCTGGAACGATCGGGATGATTTGGTCTTGCACATAGACCATTTCGATAGACAACATCTTCCAGCTAGAGAGTGATACCACAGTCGCGTCTACCTGCTGAAGTCGAGATAGAAGGCGACAGTGTGCCACCAAGTCGTAGGCTGTGTCGTCTTTCTGGATTCTGGTGGAAATTGTTCCGATCGATTGAGCAAACGCTTTGGAACCCTTAACGGCGATATCTACGGGCTGAATGGTGTGTATCGCCACAGTCCCGTGTTCAGCCATCTTTTCTGACTCGCGAATAAAGCCATCGATATCACCTCGGTACCTTTGACCCATTTAGAACAAGGCAGATCAAATGCAGACGGTCTAAGATTTGCGTGGGAATCATACCAGGATATATCAATCAGTGTCGATGAGGCGTTGGCGTGGTAGCATTTCCTCATTTTCTTCCATTGGCTTGTATCTCTATAAAACCGCTCACGGATGAGTATGCCTCTAATCTCAGCTTCGTCGAGTACGTTTTTAGGATCCATTGCAGGCGCGTTAGGCTGCATCTATTTGGTTAGGGGCTGAAAGCGTGGGGGGTTGACAGACCAGAGTATGAAAAATTCTGCAAGAGATCAAGAGAAGAGCGAGGACGTGGACACTCTTTATGTACATTCCTGCTTAGTTTCGGATTAGCCAGTAAACACTCTTGCGGAGGGGCTTGTAAGGTCGTTTCGTAACATCTTGACCGATTTATATTACCGTCAAAGCCCTTCTACTAGTCTCGTTGTTGAAGACACTTCTTGGCCATTTCAGTCCAAGTCTTCCAGGCTGTTGGAGGCCGTTGATGTCGGTCGGTCGATAATGCCTAGGGTTGACCCTCTCCACCGGGCAATTTTAGATTCCATCTTCACAGCATCATTGCAGTTGCCATTCACAAAAGGCAGTAGGTCAAGACATGATATAAAGCGGTCGCTCTCGAAGGAGTCTTCTCGCTCCATACTAGTACATTGTAGGAACACTGGGGGAATGGAGGCACTAAATGATGAACTCGGCCAAGGGCAGCTTTCTTAAGCAGCTTACCTTATGGCCGCAAGGAACACAAGGAAAGTCGCACGAGGAAGAAATCAGTTCCTAAATCCCGGAATAACGCTCAAAGATGCTGTCGTGGATCGTCCCTGTTCCGGACATTGTTGTGTGTCAAAAAGCGTACAACTTCAATGTTCTCGAAAGACGTCCTCGTTTCTATTTTCAGTGTGCTTCCCCAAGCCTCATTAGCCTCGCGCCCCGTCTCCGCCGGTCTGGCCGTATGCCCCAATAATCCGACTGGCTCTTAGTCATTGGTAAGCCACCGAACCACTAATACTATTCAAGACCAGTTATCGAGCAGCTGATGACATGCTTACACACTGTACGTCCTAATTCTCAGTCCATCGATCCGGCTGCCTTATCGAAGATAAAACGACAACAACCTTGCAGCGCCGAAGTTCGTCGCTACTTTTGCAAGGGGCATATGTGCGCCGCGTGACATTTCGAGCCAATACAGGTGTAGACAGACTTCCTAGCCAGTGCACGCTTATCGAAGAGCGTTGGATGGAATAACATCGAGAAATTTTGCATGGCAACTACGAGAATGAAGCCACAGACACCTTACAGGAAGCGGAACAGAAGATGCGGATATCAGACCTCAGCCAGCGGATGTCTTACGTGCAAGTAAGTCGCGAATAAGTCCATTGCCGCCTCTCCTAGTCTAATCGGCCATCCTCAGGAAAAGGCGAATCAAATGCGACGAAGGGAAGCCCATTTGTGGACAATGTGCAAAAAGCAGGCGCCATTGTGATGGCCCAATGGCATTGCAGTATCGGTTTGCGGCGCCTCAAACGAGCACTTCCTTTTCTACTGGCGGGAGAATATCGAGTCCCGCCTTTCAGATCCCCATGGTCAGTGGCAGTCATGACGAGAAACGAGCCTTTGACTACTATCTCCAGAAAGTGGGACCAATGCTTGCTGGGGAAAATGTGAAAGATCTCGAATTCTGGCTGAGCCTGGTGCCTCGTTGGTGCGTGTCTGACACGGTGCTCTGGGCCGCAATCATCTCGCTAAGCCACCTTTATCAACAAGTTCGAGTTCGGCCAGCCCCGGCGGACCCCTTCGGGCGTGGGTGCAGTCTGTCAGGGTATTCGTGGAGCCTGGAATATCATGGGCGAGCCATCAGCGAATACCGGCAACGTTTGAGCAGTAAGACTGCAGACCTGCCCGGTGCCTTCCTAAGCTCCGTCCTCTTTGCAATGTTCGAATTTCAATTGGGGAACGTGGACACTGCGCTCGTGTTGGTCAGAAGCTCGGTCAAGTTGTCTTCGCAGATCAAGAAGTGGCCTGATAATCTGGACGTGAAGGAAGGAATATGCCGGTTCTTCGCCAGCCTTGCATTGCTCGTGTCGCCCACGAGTGCATTTCCAACTACAATAGCCGGACCCTTCAATGGAGAGAAATCACTCAGGTCGTCTTTCCTGGTCATGATGCCTCAGCCTTTGGATATGTTGAGAACCCGCCTGTATAGCCTGAAGTATCAGGCTTCCAAGGTTATGGAGGAAGCCTCCTACGGCCGGTCACAGGCCATTTCAGGGGATGATGAATGGTTAGCTCTTCAACAACGCATTTTGAGGGATCTGGATATTTGGCGCAACACGGTGCAGGCCTTTCGACTTGAAAATCCCTGCAACTTTTCCGATTTTCTAACCTCGCTTCTGCTGATATACAATAGGGTGACCTATATCGAATTGTCAGTGTGCTTGATCGCAGCAGAGACCAAGTTCGATCAACATCTGGTCGCTTTTCGAGAGATCGTCCGCTACGGGGAGACTGCACTCGGCTACGCTCTGGCCATAGATGCTAAGCCTCCTTTCCTATTTGAACTGAACCCCGTGCCGCCGCTCGCTTTCGTCGCATGGAAATGCCGTCATCCTGGCGTAAGACGAAGAGCTAGAGATCTGATGACCAAGGCGAGGGGTTTGACAGGCAGCTGTAACCCCTGGATTGTTGATCTGGCAACTGCAGTCATTCAGATCGAGGAACATGGGGCTGAAGAGCCTCACGAAGGATGGGACAAGCAAACCAGCATCCAGGAGGTGACCTCGAGGATACCCGAACAGAAGAGAGTGAAGTGTTGGTACGCTTTGAAATCCCAGACAGGTGCGAAGGATCCTTCGTTACTCGCGAATCTTATCCTACATCCATGCATCAGCGAGCTCGACTGTGACGACTGTGTAAGACGCGTTCTGGTACAACTGGAGACAGGTGAGGTCCTGGAAGATGCGACTACCCACATCCGAGATGTGGTGTATCGAATATGAGTGGCATATGACTTGCCCATGTCTCTCATAGCTTCGTCGGCCGAAGCGCTAGTACACTGTAGTCAGATCCTCATGCCGTCTGTAGGGTTAGGAACGAGAGACGTCCGAGGGTACAATGCTGTGCATGGCAGCACAGAAACATCGATCGCCAATGGCTTGTCGATCTTTGTCATAGTGACAAGCAGTGTGCTTGCCAATGGCAGAGATCGCAAGAGATTCATCCAAGCTTTGCTGCAGCACAGATGAGCTTGCTGTCATGTGGGGACTAACGCGAATGAATGAGGCACGTGATGACGAGAAAGTCTGGGGGAATTCAAAAAGGCAGGAGACACGAGTGCCAAGAGCGCTATACTAAAACTGGTTAGTGATTTATCGGACAAGTGAAACGCAGCAGCGGCATTGTGAAGCGCGCGACTGTCTTGTGCTGGGCTTCAATTGCAACCACGTTGATTTCCCTTCCTCATGTGTGATCTCTAAACCGATCGAACCTGCGCCTACGCACCTACATCCCCCTCCCGACCCTCCCAAAAAACGATGAGCATGGCTTCCCGGAAGACCCTGCAAGAAATCGATAAGACCTTCAAGAAGGTTGACGAGGGCATTCAGGCCTTCGAGGGCATCTACGAAAAGATCTATTCTTCCAATAATGCCGCACAGAAAGAGAAACTGGAAGACAATCTCAAGAAAGAGATCAAGAAGTTGCAGAGATCTCGCGACCAGATCAAGACATGGGCGGCAGGTAATGAGATTAAAGACAAGTCTGCTCTGCTTGACCAGCGGAAGCGGATAGAAAAAGTAAGATGTCTACACGTTGGACTAGACGGGTACTGACACGCGAGACAGTGTATGGAGATATTCAAGGCTGTCGAGAAAGAGATGAAGACGAAGGCATTCTCGAAAGAAGGACTGTCGCAGAACACCAAGCTAGATCCAAAGGAAAAGGAGCGGGAAGAGCTATGCGACTTCTTGTCAGATCAGTTGGAGGAGATCAACAGAATATTGACGGAAGAACTGGAACCAGAGGCTGGCACACTCCAATCTGCTCTCAAAAAGAAGCAGAAAGACAATAGCAAGGCGGACCGACTTGCCGAGATCGAGTCAGTAACCGAGACCTACAAATGGCACGAATCCCGGCTCCAACTCTTACTGCGGTCGCTCCAAAACGCAAACGTTGACAATGACGTGGTCAACGCTATCAAATCCGAGATCGAAGAGGTGGTGAGGGAAGGCCGTGAGCCCGACTTTGATGCAGAAGCATACGAAGGGATCTACGACGATTGCAACCTGGATAGCGAAGAAGCTCAATTCGGATTAAACAACGAAATGGATCACATGTCTTCCCAAGATGCGCAGTCCATCCAAGAGGACAATGAACCAGATTTAAACACCCTGAAGAAGACAAAATCCGAGCACATTCCTGCCCGACGACCCTCTACGCAGCTCAAGTCGCCTCTGCCGGCACTTGCGACGCTCAACACCATGCCTCCGCCACCATCAATACCCAAAGACAACACTATGAAACCAGCGCCATTACCCAATCGACCTCCTGGAGAGACCTTGAAGTATGCCTCAGCAGCAGCTGCTGCCGCAGCTATGGACAAAAGTGGAGTTGGTATCGCACCGCTTCCTCCCCCGGTTGGGACTAGTCCTGCATCTACATCTCATCCACTACCAGCGCCAGTGAAGACATCCGCCACCGCGTCTCCAGCTTCTGTCCCAGCCCAGCCGGCTGAGAAGGCCGCATCACCTGCGCCCGCTGCAGCGAGTCTGGACGGCTCAGCCTCGCAAGAACAATCCAGTCATTCCAAGTCTCCCACTCTCAGCTCCACCAGTGCTCCTGCTGCAAGCATGCCAAGCAGCATCCCACCAACACCTGCGATGGAAAAGTCCGAGGCAGTGCAGGAACCTGTCATAGCGGACGAATTGCCAACGACTAACGGTGATGCTCACGAAGACACGGTCGAGTCGATATACCACCTGCCGCCGGGATTGCAAGACTTGCTAGACTCTTTTGAGACAACTAAGAGCCGTGCAGCTCAGCCTCCCTCACAGTTGGCAAGACTACTGCAGGCATCACAGGAGACTTGCCCGGAACCGTCCGACAGCGATAGGCCGCAGCACTACCGCCCCACGCTCAAGTACAATACTCCGGCGCATTATCCACAGGATGTCCTCCCGATTTTTGACGATCCCGCCCTGTATGATAATCAACGATTGGAAACAGACACACTGTTCTACATCTTCTATTATCGCCAAAACACGTACCAGCAGTGGCTTGCAGCACGCGCTCTCAAAAACCAGAGCTGGCGATTTCACAAGCAATACCAGACGTGGTTCCAACGGCACGAAGAACCTAAGCAAATCACCGAGGAATATGAACAGGGAACATATCGCTTCTTTGACTATGAAAGCACGTGGTAAGCAGAGGGTCATCTCCCATCTAGGATCATTCTTCTGTTTGCCTAACTGAATGCAGGATGAATCGGCGGAAGGCTGATTTCAAGTTCGTGTACAAATTCCTCGAAGATGATCTGTAGGGTAGCTACTTAAGCAGCGACGTTGCTGCCATTCGGCTTGCTGCAGGGCATGACATTTGCAGCCTGCAGGAGCCATCACTCTCCCAGAAAGAGTGCAACAGAGATGCGGTATCAATCTCCAAGCTTCGTCCTGAGACTTCCTTGTGTATATGTTGCTCGGACCTAGGGGTTGGGTTCATCCGAACCGCTCTGCACGGTTTCTTATCCGCTCGAACCATTCGACCGCCAGTGCTGGCACCCTTCTGGAAGGTAAGGTTTCCGACTGCATGACTCCGCCTCACTCTTTGTGTGCGACCTAGTTGGCGTGCAGAGCCAGGTGGTACTGAAGAAGGGTGGCTGTGATCCGAAAGGCAGCCACTAAACTACATCCGGCGAGAGGTCAAAAGTATTGAGCCTGTCCGCAAACCACCTTGCTTGTTCGCCTTTTTCTCAGCCTCAGCAGCTGCGGGCTAATCGTGGACATCTCCTTTGTCGACCTAGGTCTCGAACGCGTTCTAGGAAGCTGCACGGCATGGAAAGGCAACCGTGCAGCTCGAGAAGAGAACGCTAGTCCAACCCGTCGGCACTGCCATCATTCTGCAGCAATATCCTACCGTGGGGAGGTCGTTGTCCATGGCAAAAGGGATCATGCTATCTCGCAAGTCGGGCCACTATCCTTAGGGAGAGATTTCCCACCGCGTCCCCTGCGTATCCTCACCTCACGGGACCTTGTAGACGCTATGCCGAACCCTCTCCTCCTGTCCACCGGCGGCCTTCCGCGCTGAATTTGTGGTCAACTGGTTGTCAAACCGGGGCAGTGTCACCATTCTTTGTTTGTCGTCTGTTCCTCGGCCGAGGCAAACTGCATATTCCGTGCTTGACGGATACCAGTGTCAACGAGGGCAACGAATCATTATGCTACCCTGACCAGCCATGCTAACTGCCCTACAAAAAGATGAGCCTTGGGAATAGCCTCGCTATTGAAGCTACAATCAATTGGTCTGGTAAGCCTCCCTCCTGATTACCGTACTACTCATGTGCGGCTAGATCAGTGCCATCGACACGTGGGAGACCATGTGCTCGCATTCACCCTTGCCTAACCTTTCATTGTGCACTGCTCGTTCCGTTCACTCTATCTCAGATCTTTCGAAATTCAAGAAGGATGTTCCGTTGTTCCATGTGGAACATTGGAACCCTCGGTCAGCGTTCTTATAAGGCTAGCTGAGGAAACTGCCCAACTTCATCACGCCTGTTTGAGGACCTGCTGAAGAAACGCCAACGAGGGATTCTGGCACTCGTCACTGATAGGCTGTCTTTCTGACCTGCCATGCCATACCCTCAGTCCGACACTCTGTGCGTATTCGCGCCATCTCTATAACCCTACCAATTTATCGTTCCAACCTGCTTCTCCATTTTACACTGCCGGACTCCCGGCTGTTTGCCTAGGAGCACCTTTGCCTCGACACTGGAGCGGGTGCTTCTATCCTTGCTTCCAGTCTTCCACTCGCGAAGGGTAGCATCAGGCTGAAGCTTTTGCTCTTCTCTCGTCGACACTACAGTCATTTTCTGCTGCGATGCTTTCTTCTCCAGGCCCATAAGCCTGGATACTTGCGAGACCGAACAGAAAATATCTTTCAAGCATGGCTGATGCACAGAACGATGCCTGGCCCGATGACCTTTGGCAGGGGAATTATGGTCAAGAACATCTTCAGTCGTTCTCGTTCTCCGCACCTAGCCCTTTCCAGAATGTCAACCCTTCGGCTGCGCCGCATTATCAGTACGGTGGCCTCCCTTCCAACAACTCTCTCAGCACACCTCGTTATATATCCGAACAGACACTTACTCACCAGCCACGTATGCACGACTATCAGCACGAACAGTTGTACACCACTTCGACACAATACCACAATTACAGAGACCGAAGCAGCGACAACTCGCTAGGCACGGATTCCCATCCTACAAGCACGAACACCAGTCCTGAACTGGCAGACTTTTCCGTCGCAATAGACGACCAATACTCGGCGCTATTCCCTGAACAATGCGAGTCATTGCATGCCAGCTCCATTAGAAAGCTCGACCGCAATTTGCCAGCTTCTGGCCTAGGGGAAAATGGGAGTCGGGGGATTAACTCTACCCGACAGGTTGCTAGAAAGGGGAGCCCAGGCAAAAGGTGAGGTATTCCATTCATACTGCACGCTTCCAAGCATTTCCAGCCCGATCCGCATCCTCTTAATTGTACTGCTTCTCAACTAATGCCTAGCCTATTCGCTTCTATCACATCTTCTTGTTCAATGCCATCCCTGTACCAATGTGTCTGGTTGCTCTAATACGTCTTGCAGGCTCGCCGTCAAGGGCAAATTGCCCTGTTATCACCCGGACTGCTTGGGAGAAGACGGGCAACCGAGAAGATTTTTCAGTCGCAAGGCCGATGTCACAAGGCATTACAAATCTCAGCATGAAATTACTTATCTCGATTGCCCCTGGCCTAAATGTTTGAGAAAGGGGACCCAGGGTTTCCCTAGAAAGGATCATCTTACTGAGCACCAAAGAGGTTATCACCAGGAGAACATTCCAAAAAGAATTGCTGGCAATCACGCCGAGAAACAGACCGAAATGATCACTACAAGCAACGACGGGATGAATGTGGCCCGGATAAGTGACAAACCATTCCCCCTTCCTCTGCCGGATACTGTCGTTCCGCATATGAATGCCCGAGAGCAGACTTCTCATCAAGAGCAGGTTAGTGGAGTTCGCAAACGCAAAAGGCAAGAAGTTTCACATCCAGACCTGGAACTCCAAGCTTACCATACCGGCACTCCATTGGGACGTGGGAACAGGACTAAGAACTCTGCTACCAGCGGAGCACCTGTTGTCGGACAACATCATGTTCACTGGGAGGGCCAAAGTGTGGGTCGGGTATATCAAGAAGATCAATCCCAACTCCAAGCTCCGGCTCTGCCAACGCGTAGGGCAAACACTCAGCCCCGGACTGTTCTCCAGAGGGCTGCAACCTCGCCGTCATTTTTCGATGGCTACCATGACATTGAACACTTGGTCCACAGCTCATCAATGCCTCGATATTATCAGGAGTCTGAACATCCAGCAACTCAATTTCCCTAGCGGAAGGAGCAAGGAGCAAGGAGCTGCGCGTTTTTCTCGTGACTGTTAGTGGTGTCTGGGCGCCCTCAGGAAGACCTGACAGCTTCTCCCTCCTCGCATGATCAAGATACTTTCCATGCCTGAGTCCGTCGACCTGTTTGGTGGTGTGCTTTGCTTCATTTGTCCCAGAGCATGGCGTTCTTTGGTGCTTAACTTACAACGAACATACCGCGCTGAGCATTGGAGGAATTTGTGTTGGCATGGATCTCTGTCGTTTACATGAATTTAGAAGGTCACGGTTGTCTTCCATCCTGCTGTGGACGGTCATGTTCATGAATTTATGGTCGTCGGAACCATCTGCTATGACGATTGGGAGGTATCGCTGTTGACCCCTCTGGTTATGCTGACCTTCGGCTGATCAATATTACTATTATTTTTCCAAAGGAGTATGCGCAATCGAGCAATGCGTGGGACTCTTCATTCTCAACTGCTTGCGCTCGTCTTGGATCGCTCCAAACAGTTGTCGTACGTTCTACATGCCATTTCGCAATGGCGAAATGGTCTTCCCATCCCACGGGTCCTGAGCTGAATAATGTCTCGTCTTCTGAGTACGCGCCTTTAGCCAATGCCAGGCACCCTCCATGCATCTTTCATCGTGCCCAAACTCTTGCGTGCTCCATACGCAAATGACATGTCCAGCGGCCCCGGAACTTCTACTTCTCTCTCCCATCAAAACCGAGGGGGACGCGGAGACTTTATTCAATTCGATGGTCGAACGTTCGCCCGTACGAACCACTCGCAATGCACCTCGAGGCACCTTGAGGCACCTAGGTAGGGCGATCTGTCGCCCATTTGTCAGCCTCGATGCGCGACGACCGAGAAAGCATCTTCTCCATTGGCTCTCCTCGGGTCCTTTTCGTCGTGATGGGCCTTTAGAGGCTTCATGAGGCAACTAAGTTACAACATCCATTCTCGGCCACGGCGCCTCACGGCTAAGGTCGGTATTCGACCTTCTCACGCCTCCAGTCAGGCCTTGCTCCTTGCTTGTGCTTGTGCTTTCGGTTTCGAATCATTGGCCATGTCGGGGTTCTTTCAAGGGGTAACTACCAGGTATCTACTACCCATGGCGGAGACAACAAATGGTCTTGACCACACCGGCCCCGACCTTGAAAGACATAATATAAAACCCCGACACCTTGTGTGCTCATCCAAGGCTGGGACAGAGAGGTACTAAGCATCCGATCACATCTCCTCTTCCGTACCTACCTGTACTTTACCCGTACCCAGCCAGCCTCGTGGAAGACCTTCACAGCAACATATTCTACAACCTTAGAAAAGAAGACATTTGTCACATTTCTGTCAAGCCGCCTCCACCCTCCCACCCTCCATGTCGTCTCCAGTCCTTCTGATCCTCGGCGCCGGCCCCAACATCGGCAAACACGTGGCCAACGCCTTCACGTCGAAGGGGTACAAAGTCGCCCTGGCCTCGCGCAAGAACCACGGCACAGAAGAACACAACAACAACAACAACAACAACAACAACAACAACAACAACAACAACAACAACAACAACAACAACAACAACAACAACAACAACTTGAACCAGATCCACGTCCCCGTCGACCTGACCAAGCCCGAGACGGTCCCTGGCGCGTTCGACACCGTCAAGGCGCAGCTCGGAGCACCGCCGAGCGTGGTCGTGTACAATGGCGCCCTCCGCATCCCCAACGACGCGAAGGACCCGCTGACCTCCTTCTCGCTTCCCGACCACGACGACAGCATGTCCGTGAACAGCACGTCTGTCCTGCTCGCGTTGCAACAAGCCATCGCCGGCTTCCGCGGCCTCCCCGCCACAGCAAGCAAGACATTCATCTTCACGGGCAACATTCTCAATCTCGTCCCCGTCCCCGGCATGCTCTCGTTCGGCATGACCAAGGGGGCCACGGCATACGCGATTCGGTATTTGGTTGAAACCAAGACTTATGAGGGCGAAGGTGTCACGTACGTCTTCTGTCTCCTATTCCATTCCATCACTAATTCTACCTTGCTACTCTCCGTTGTCTTCCCTTCCATTTCTGTAACCTTCCTGCTTGAGCTCTTGCGACGCCGGCAGGAGAGGATGACCACGTCGTATCAAGACGAAGCTAATGATGGGCCTAGATTCTACTATGCCGACGAACGCACTTCATCTGGTTCACCCGTTTTCATGGACATTGATGGTCCGGCAGCTGCGACTGCGTATCTCAAGCTTGCTGAGCAAAAGGAGCAAGGGCCTTGGTTGTACACATTTGTCAAGGGTGAGGGCTATAAGGACTTTGGGGACAAGCCGTGGGCTCCTGCAGCTAAGTGATGTAACTGAAAAACAAAGACGGGCGTGCTTAACTTGCCGAAGCCCCGACTTCTTCAATGAGGCTCGTGATGTTCACATGGAGGAAGTGTTTGCTCTGTAGGTCTGCCGCAATTGCAAGATCAATAATAGAACACCCTGATGGACATATTTTTCCACCTGTCAAAGCTCATCGCAGATCGAGTGCAAGATTTTAGAGAATGAACAAGAAACGGAAAAATTCGTTTTGTGGTACGAGACCTTTTCTGATTTTGCTGACTATGTCTTCTGATCGAGCTTTGATATCAGGTATCAGTGAAGGATTGACCAAGTGCTACCTGGTGACCATCTCATGTAGCTCTCTTTCTCGATGTTTCTCTCTTTATTTTTGTCTTCATGTCTGTTGACATGTCCATCTGACCATGCTAATCTTCGCAGGACTCCTAAAGCGCTGTGCCCCAGGGAGATGGTGTCGGCAGCTGTTGGCAGAGTCTGAAACTCAATAGGGTCTCTTCTCAGGCTTCATGCTATCCTACCAACCGCCAGTCGAGGTCACAGTTGGTGCACCAGGGGCAAAGGCAGGACCTTGCTCCCAATCAGCCTGTGCAGAGCCGCCAGTATTGTTGTTTTCCCAGCCACTACCGACAGCAGCCCCGCCGTCTGGATGGGTAGTCTCCGTACCTGGCTCGAAACCTGGATCTCCCTTTTTGGCCTCGGGGCATCTGGCACGACCATGACCCTTGCGATCACTGTGGCAACGAATTAGTATGAGTCAGTGTTGGGTTTGACTGCTTCGACTTACCAGACACTGCAAACAACCTGCGACCAGTCCCTAGGAGGACGAGCTCCAGCTTCGTCTTTCTTGGGACAATCTCTCTGCAGATGATCTTCGGCGTCACAGATACGGCACTTTTGCTTGCGTGGTTCGGGGCAGTCCTTGGCGATATGGTCTTCCTCACCACAGTTGCGGCATGTTCTCTTCTCGCGATTTGGACACTCTCGAGCCATGTGATCCTCAGAGCCACAGTTGCGGCAAGTTTGTTTCTCACGATTGGGACAGTCTTTGGCAATGTGATCCTCTTCATCACAGATCTTGCAAGTACGCCCAGCCTTCTTACGCTCCTGCTTGCAGTCACGAACACGATGACCCTCTTCTCCGCACAGGTGGCAAAGAACCTTGGTCTGCTCTCGTGGTATTTGCTCTTGTGGACAAGCCTTGCTCTTGTGACCAATTTCTCCGCAGTTGTTGCACTTGTCCACACCACGATCAAGTGGGGTACCGGCGTCGGCAAGACGAGTGAGGTTCTCTTCGGCAGAGGGTGGCCATTTGTCGAGCAGAGTGGGACGTTGAGGCTTGTCAGAGAGAAAGTAGCTAACAGCATACTTCTTGCCGGTTTCACCCTGTAGGTTGACATTGGTCCAGGTGTCACCATGGTTCTTCTCCTGTGGCGCAGTTAGCATGCAATGTGAATGAGACCGATCGAAGATTGACCAACCATTGCAATGAGGTAGATGCTATAACCACGCTTGCGAAACTCCTTCTCGAGACGAGGATAGGTGTAGTCAGGAGCAGCTTTGGACAGAATCTGGATTCCTTCCTTGAAGTCGGTGATATCCTGCTCATCACTCGCCTTCTTGAGCAAGTCCCACGCCTCATTTTCAGACTTCTCAGCAACGCGGGCATTGTCGATCACCTTAGGATTCTTGCATTCGATGGCAGTGTGGCCTTCGATTGTCAGCATACTTCCGCATCGTACAAGAGCGCTTCACTGACCCTCCTGCTGGCAATTCTTGCACTTGTCGACGCGAGTTGGGCAGTAAGAAGCCATATGACCTGGTTGGTCGTTAGCGGCTGCAGATTCCAATCTTTGTCTTTGTATGTCCCACCTTCTTGACCGCAGTTACGGCATTCACCCTTGAACTTGCGAGGACTGGGGCAGTCGACTTTGGACTAGACAGACCGATCAGTATCAATGACCCGACGTAAGAATATCTCGCCTACATGGCCTTCCTCGCCCTATGGAGATGTCAGTAAAGGCGAAGCAGTGGTAGACGGAGACCATACGCAGTTGAAGCAAGCACCCATCTTCTTTGGTTCGGGGCAGTCACGAACAAAATGACCCTCTGCAGCACATCAGTGATTGTCCCAAGCCAGATGAGCACGAGCCTCACCTTGACCGCAGTTGCGGCAAGCACCGCCAGGAGCACCTGAGTCGCCGTTCTCACCACCTCCAGTACCGAAGCCGTCGTTGAAGTCGCCATTTGTCTGACCAGCAAAGCCATCGTCAAAAGCAGCAGCTTGGTTACCCGCACCGCCATCATTCCAGGCATCACCACCGCCGTTCCAGGCTTCGGCACCTGAGTTTGGCCAGTTAGTCTCATCTCCTCTCTCTCGATCTGTGTCCAGGGAGGGAATGAAATGGGACCAAACATGAGCATGGGCATTCTTCAATCATCCATAAGTCTGAACGTTTCCAGCAAGGCTTAGTAGCACGTTTTGTTTGCCTCCGTTGTCTTGTGATCCAATCCATTGTAGAAGGGTAGAGAAGGAAGGAGTAGCAGTGATAGTGCCAGGAGATAGCTAGTACTCACCTGTAGCAGGTGGAGCTCCGGTGTCCCAACTCATACTGGCAGACGTTGCTGTTTGAACACTGAGTAAAAACAGTTATCCACCTGGAAGATGAAATGTTAGCACTGCTTCTTACAATTGATGTGAGATGTTACAACCGATCTGAGATTTTTGAGGATGATGGATGACTGAAATGTTTGAGGAAAACAAAGACGTTTGGCAAGGAAGAGAGGTCCGACGAGTACGCAAGAGCTGCCAAGGGTAATGTGAGATGAGTCAGAAGTGCATCAAGGAGCGGCAGAATCCTGGCACGCAGAGGTCAAGCAGTCCGTGTGTATCTTTGGTTGGCTGTGGCCTTGTGGTTGTGTGAACATTGACGGGATGTCAGGAAGGCTCCTCAAGCTATTTCTGGTCGTGGATGTGGTGGTTCGATTGTGGAAACGACAGAGGTGGGGATCAGGAAATGAAATCGAGAGAGGTTTACCTAGTGAGACAGCGTCAGTTGGAACTTGCTTCGGTGTCGTGTTTCTTGGGTTACTCACCTGAAGACAGTGGTTTTTGATAATCCGATGATGGAAGGAATTGAGCAATGGATTCCCTCGGAGCAGCAACACAAGATTGATTGCGAGGTGCGATTGTTGGAAAGGATAAGGAGAAGAGAAACAAGAGGTGTTGAGATGGAAGTGAGAGGGACAGAATGAGAAGGGAAGAGCAGTGCAATTGTGCCCGACAATAAGTGCGGCAGACCTGCTTCCGACTTCATCTTCCTGCTTCTCTCTGGGGAAATTTGGATATCACCGCAGTTGGCTTTCTTGCTCTTCATGGCAAACATGGGTCACTGCTCATGTGCGTGGCTTGACTTCTACCCCCTCCAGCGTTATACATCCTGGCACACATGCTCAACCAAGCTCTGATTGCCAGTCGCACTTTACTGATGCCGTCTTTCAACCGCTGGTGGCAGGCTCCCAGGAACATTAGCAGTCCTTCCTGAACAGGACAGCGCATTGGACTATCATGCTGCAGATCTCCCACCACCTCACGTCAAACTGGATAGGATAATCCTACCATGAAGGTGTATTCTTGAGCTTGCCGGCAACACAAGCTACATTGACCATGGGAGCTAAACGACACGAGAAATGGCCGGATGGAACAAGGTTTGCACTGTGAGACGCTCCATGTTGGCCATCCACCGACTCAACTTAGCAATTCGACTTGATCAAAGCAGAGAGCCCGGCATCGTGTGCAGCACGAGATCAGCATGTTCGACGTGTTTGTTGACGTTGGCTTAGACCTCGGCGTTGGCCAGGTTGGTGTTTTAGCCAATCGCAGCCTGCCCCTAGGCTCACTCACTACATATGCTACGAGTTAGGTGTAATGTAAAATATCACTCAACGACTTTACCGCTGCAAGATTTGGAAACTGAAATTTTGGAGGCCTAAGATCGCTGACTGGGGTAAAATCGTTGAGTGGTATTCTATGCTACGTGCTTTGAATCTGCTGGGCGACAACGAATGCCAGACATGCATGTGAAGGCTCTTTTACAGATCAAGGATATACGGAAGGAGCATGCGAGCGATCTAGACGATTATCCACGACCTGTTGGGAGGCTACCGCAGAACCTGAGACACCACGGGTTGATTTTTGACAAAATGATTAGAGGGATGCACAGGCCTGAGCGCTGACCTTTCGCCAGGGGCTTTCCTCATGTGGCAGCTTGACTCATTGATAACCCTTGACATTTGACCAACCTATTCCAGGCCGGGCGGAAAAGGCGTCCTTTGGCGGGCACCGTTTGCTCATGCGCTACCTTTTGTCCGGGAATTGCTGGAAGTATCTAAAGCCGACGCACGCCACGCACAAAACCAATGTCGTTCGTTCAGCAGATCATGCCCTCATCAACACCTTCACAAGCCTCGCACCCATAATCTCAATCCGCTGGCCGCAGCACCAATCTCGCAGACCTCGCAGATCTTGCAAACCTGTCCCTTGTACTGAGTCTGGTACTTTGCACCATCAAACGGGCACGAAACGCTCTGCGAACCAGAATAGATGGGAGTGTACGAAGCTGCGCACACCTCGAAGTCAGCGAACTGGTCGTATTCAACGTCGATCTTGTCTGTCGAGCCGGCTCGTTCAGCTTGTTGTTTTACTTTCTTTGCCTGGAAATAGTTAGGAAGCCTGCCACATAAATAAACAGAAAACACTGACCTGTTCAACCAATTTCGGCGCGCCGCCATTGGCGAGGACACGGTTGGCAAAAGACAGAGCACTGGAAAACTGCTTGTTCGAGAATGCCAACTTCATCGCAGCCATAAGAGCCAGCTGTCGATGCGAGACGTCCAGCTTCGGCACAGTAAAGTAAGCAGAGAGTTCGAGCTGTCGCTTCAGTTGCTCTTCCGAGTCTCCTCCTGCTGCGGCAAGTTGTCGTCTCTCCAACTCAATACTCATAGCAAGCGTATACTCCATACACTTGGCAATGAGAGCTTTTGCTTCGTCAACTTGTGGCTCCGAGCTGACAACATTGACCAGAAGAGATTGCAAGATGTTTTGGAATGTGAGGACACCGTTTTCGAGCTTGTTTGTTCGCATGGCAGTGTAACCTTCCTGCAAATCAACAGTACTTAATGTGTCAAGACCTTTGGGGATGATGGGAAGCAGCTTCCGACTGTCTGTCTCATCGATGTTGCGGCGAACGTAGTTCAGCATAGGGGATAGACCAGCATTGCCAGGCAGGAATGTCCTCGAAGCTTGGTAGATTTCGAGGAATCTTGGCTTGAGAGGGGCGAAGTTGACGGCGCCGATCTGCCGGTTGAGTAATTGCATGGCACTTTCGAAAGACCCAGCCGCGACATGGTCGGCGGCCAGCGGAGAGTTGCGCGCCCACATATCGGCTTCCGAGCTACCGGGACCGGCGGCCTCGACTGGAGCATCCGGATTGTCAACATTGACAAACTCAGACTCATCCCCCGCAGTGTCAAGGCCAATGTCGTCACCCATGTCCCAGCCTTCAACGGCGTCTGCTTCGTCCTCTACCGCCAATCCAGTGCCATCTGCAATGACAGGAACATCTTCGTTCAACAGATCGGGGCTTGTCTCGTCTTCCACAGCGCCACTGACCTCACCAAGCAGAGCTTTCTCAAACGAGGAATGAGAGGCCTCCTTGACGGGCCAATTGGCCTTGTATGTAGGAGCAATAACTTTTGGAGGTGAAAGAGCTTGGCCGCTTTCGGGCATTGAGATTTGATCTTCTGTCAGACCACATAGCTCGAGAATGGACTGGCATTCCTCTCTCAAGCCGTGTGTTTTGGCTGTCAGATATGCCAGAGGATATAGATCGATTTCTTTGAACATCTGGATGCGAGTTTCCACGTCACCGAGGTAGAGAGCATTTTGGAAGCGAGAAACGAAGTCCCCACGGTGCTCAGCGATTTTGGCCATCCTGGTAAGCTTCTCCTCATCACCTGTGCAAAGGTACAGGAATGAAAGTTTGTCAAAGTTACGGAGCTTCTGGTAGGTCATCTCGACCGTTTGGTGGTTCCCATGAATCAAAGCTTCGGCGCCGAGGCGTGTCCAGATCTTCGGTCTGTCAAGCTCTTTAGCCATCTCGGTTGCAACCTCTAGGTTTCCACATTCGATAGCAAGCTCGAATCTGGTCTGAGGATCTTGAACGAACTGAAGCGCTATCTCGGGGTAACCTTTCTTCTGCACATAGGCGATGATGCTTTGACCGACGAGGCTTGAATTCTTGATGATCTGAAGCATTTCGTCGTAGTTTCGCTTGACAAGGGCAAGCTTGAAGCGATACTCGGTGGGATCGATACTGAGAACTTTTGGTTTGGCAGATCGATCAAGACAGTAAACATTACGGCCCTTTACCTTGACCAGGTAGACGGTCTGGTCTAAAGTCCTCAAGATGCCATTGTCACCGTTCAGGAGAGTGTACTTGATGTGGTTCAACGTCGAATAGAGCAGCACGCCTGAATCGTCCCAAGTTGCGCTCTTTATTCTGATTGTTTCGTGCAGCGTGCTGACTTGCTCGAGATTTTTGTTGACGATAGTGACGTTGTGCTTGCTAAGCAATGCTGCGTACAACCCGTCATTCGACCAAGACACATACTTGACCCCAGTCACGCTGAGCTCTGCCAATTGCTTCTTTTGTTGAATATCATGCAGGACGACATTCGTAGGAGTCAGGAGAAGCAGACACCCGGTTCCGCCATATGTGATGTCAGTGGTGCCAGGTGGTGCGCTGAAAGACTTGGTGGTTGAATTGCTCAGGTCTTTGATCTCAACAAGCTGTGTTGAGCTGTTGAAGACTGCAAATCGGTTACGAGCAACAAAAACTGCGGCAGTTCCTGAGCCACGCTTTATATCCGTCGGGTCGGAGGCACCAGTGGCATCTCTGGGAAGGCCGATCAATTCGTAGGTGCCACTGTCCGTTGGCGAGGTGACGAGTATCGACCGTTCGGCTGGGTTGTATGAAAGCGTACGCGGAGGCACCCAATTGCTGCCAAACTTTCTAAGTGAGAGCAGAGAAGGTGACTCGACGTTCTTGGTAAAATCATAAGACCGTACATGCTTGTCCTTGGTGATGTAGAATAGCTGGTTTTGGTAGACCGAGGACGCTGGTCGCTCCCGTTCAAGTTTGAAGACCATAACTCCATTATCATGTCCGGCAGCGAATAGATTGATCTCGGGGTGAGCGGCTATTACCCAGAACCGATCATTCTCTCTCTTGAAGGATTGGACGGAGGTTCTCTTGTTCAGGTCCCAAACTCGGACTGTCTTGTCTTCTCCCACTGACAAGATCAGGTCTTGATGTGGATGAAACAGACATGCAGATACGTTCTGGAAATGTCCACGACAGGTGTCCACTTCCCAGGCTTTTGTTTCGCTCATTCTCCACAACTTGACGAGGCGGTCATCACCAGCTGAGACGATCAAAGGTAGAGTTGGATGGAATGCGACCCAGTTGACACCTCGATCGTGACCTTCAAGCACAAATTTGACCACTGCATCGGTGTTTCCAAACATATCAGCTTGTTGCTGGTTCGCGCGTGCCATCTGATCCTCGAAGCTCATTGATGTTGGAGCGGAGTGTTTCTTTCGCAAGCCTGAGATGTCCCATACCCTAACTGATTGATCTAGAGAGGCGGAAACAATGAGGTCTTCTTTGGGGTGAAATTGCGCACACATGGCATAATGGTTGTGGCCGGTCATTGTGCAAACTATAAATTGAATTAGCTGCGCAGCCTGATGACTAGAGTATGAGACATACTCAATGATCGATTTTGCCAATTCCAGATTCTGATTGTCTGGTCATCTGAAGCGGATAGGATCCAGGGCAATTCGTGATGAAAGAAGACTGTCCGAACGTAGTCAAGGTGGCCGTTGAGTGTGAAGAGACATCTTCTTGTTTGGTATGACCACACTTTAATCTTGTAGTCGTCTCCTCCCGAAACGAACAGTGGCTGAGTCTTGTGGAAGTCGATCCCACGCACAGGTCCATCGTGCTCTTCAAACCGGTCAATCAGTGTGCCCATACGATAATCCCATAGTCTGGAGGAAGCGGTTAGTGTGGAGCGCGGAGGGTGGGCTGCGAGTGGTTTACTGTATGGTACTGCTGTGCAAGCTGACGAGGATCCATGGTCGTCTCGGGTGGAAAGCAAGGCCCTTAGCACGACTGCTTTTGCTCTCAAACTATCACTGTTAGTTGTAGACCCTCTCCGACCAAATAGTACTGCTTGCCTTTGTGAGCATTGAAGGGGACGACATGTTCGCAGATTCGCAGGTCCTGAGGATTGATTGTCGTGACTTCACGGACTGCTCATCATCAATAGTCTGGCCTTGCCTGCTCAGCTATTTCGGACGCCTAGAACAGGGCTGTAGTTTGGGACTTTTGTTGCTCGTCTGAAAAGGTAAACGTGTCTCGGTGACAGGGGGAATTTGGGTTGCCCGCAGTTGCATGTCAGTGTGGAGAGTGGAAGGTTCACCGAGCCTGCGACTTGGCTGCCAGTGTCCGGTGTCCATTTCGACCTCTATCTCCCACTGTTAAAGTTGACAGAGTGGCCGAGCGCACACCACTTCCACGGATCAGTCATTCTGGGTTCGAGACTCGTCTTGACATTAGTCCCCGTCCTGAGTCACTCACTAGGACTACTGCAACGAAAGTCGCGAGAATACACCAGATCAGCGAGCTCAGCCATATTCCGTGCTTCAGCATGCGTTGTTAAGCCGGAGTTGGAGATATCACGTCAAACATGGATCAAGCACAATACGATGCGATCAAGGACAACTGGGCGGAGGTGGAAGATAGAGATGGAGTCAGGCTCAGTTGGAATATTATTCCATCAACACGCATGGTGTGTTCTCTCAGCTCCGCTCACAAGACGTAAACTAACCTCCCGCAGGAAGCAAATAGACTGGTGGTGCCCGTGAGTCTCATGCTCACGCCTCTCAAGGTTGGTCTCTGCCGAACACATATGAGGCTCAACTTACTCACAATGCGCAGGAGCTCAACAAGCCCCTCCTGAATTACGAACCTGTCACTTGCAAGCCTCCCTGTCGAGCAGTCCTCAATCCGTTCGCCAACGTCGATGTCCGAGCAAAGATATGGATCTGTCCATTCTGTCTGCAGAGGAATCAACTCCCTCGTCACTATGGAGACATCAGCGCTGAAAATGTCCCCCCTGAAATGCATAGCCTGAACACCACGGTAGAATACCAGCTTGCTCGGCCTGCGCCAGCACCCCCTATCTTCGTCTATGTCGTTGATACCGCGATAGAAGAGGACGGATTGCAGGCCTTGAAGGAGACCTTGGTCATGAGCTTGTCACTACTCCCAGCCAACGCCTTGGTCGGATTGGTGACGTTCGGAACAAATGTTGCTGTGCATGAAATTGGCTACACTGAGTGCCAGAAGTCATACGTCTTCAGAGGAAGCAAGGATTATGCTGCAAAGCAGGTTCAGGAGATGCTTGGTCTCTCGGCTCCAGGACTGAGACCTAACGTACCGCCTCAACAAGGACGACCCCCGCCACCAATGGGACCAGCAGCTCGATTCCTCCTGCCCGTTCAGCAAGCCGAATTCCAGATTACAAACGCCATTGAGCAGCTGCAGAAGGATCCATGGCCTGTCGCAAACGACCGTCGTCCGCTTCGGTGTACCGGCGTTGCTATGAGCATCGCTGTGGGCCTGTTGGAGACCTCCTTCCAGAATGCAGGAGCGAGGCTTATGCTTTTTGCTGGTGGCCCGGCCACTGAAGGACCGGGTCTTGTGGTTGCTCCTGAACTGCGTGAGCCCATTCGTTCGCACCACGACATTGACCGCGACAATGTCAAATACTTCAAAAAGGCCATCAAGTTCTACGAGAACCTGGCCAAGCGTACGGCACACAACGGGCACATCATTGATCTCTATGTCGGCTGTCTTGACCAAGTTGGCTTGCTCGAAATGAAGAGCCTTGCGAACTCGACTGGTGGTCATATGGTGTTGACTGACAGTTTTACCTCCTCACAATTCAAGCAGTCTTTCGTCAGAGTATTTGACAAGGACGAAAACGACAATCTTCTTATGGGCTTCAATGGCTCACTGGAAGTGGTTACCACGAAGGAGCTTAAAGTCACTGGTCTCATTGGTCATGCTGTGTCGCAAAATAAGAAGTCAAGTTCTGTAGGTGAGACAGAGTGTGGTATTGGAAATACCTGCCTATGGAAGATGTGCGGCATTGATCCTACCTCAAGTTACGGCATTTACTTCGAAGTTGCCAACCAAGGTGGCCCAACACCAGTGCAACAAGGTCCACAACGAGGCATGATGCAATTCTTGACATACTACCAGCACTCCTCCGGCCAATATCATCTCCGCGTCACGACTGTCGCTCGGAATTTGAGTGGACCGGCCGGTGACCCAGCATTGGCACAGTCTTTCGACCAAGAGGCTGCCGCCGTGCTCATGGCAAGAATTGCAGTCTTCAAAGCCGAAGTCGACGATGGGCCGGATGTGCTGCGATGGGTCGACCGAATGCTCATTCGACTCTGCTCCCGCTTTGCCGACTATCGCAAAGACGATCCGACATCGTTCCGACTCGACAAGAACTTTACCTTGTATCCTCAATTCATGTTCCATCTTCGCAGATCTCAATTCCTCCAAGTCTTCAATAACTCTCCTGATGAAACGGCCTTTTATCGACACGTACTCAACCATGAATATGTGGGGGATTCATTGATCATGATACAGCCGACTCTAGATTCTTACGGTCTCGACCATGAAGGCGGCGTGCCGGTCTTGCTCGATTCTGCTTCTATCCAACCTCAGACAATCCTTCTTCTCGACACATTTTTCCAAATCCTCATTTTCCATGGTGAGACTATGGCCGAATGGCGAAAAGCTGGTTATCACGAACAGGAAGGGTACGAGAATTTCAAAGCAGTTCTGGATGCTCCCAAGGAAGATGCCCGAGAACTGGTTCAAGACCGTTTCCCGCTACCTAGATTCATCATCTGCGACGCCGGCGGTTCTCAAGCACGTTTCCTGTTGTCGAAGCTCAACCCATCGACCACTCATGCAACTGGAGGTTATGGAGGCGTCTCTCAGACTGCACAAACGATTTTCACGGATGATGTGTCATTACAGACGTTCATGGACCATCTCATGAAGTAAGTTACACTCTTTTGTGATGCGGAATATGCTAACCCACGTTAGGCTTGCTGTGTCTGGTTCCAGCTAGAATAGCAGTAGAAGGGGCGCCTATCAAGAGAGTATGGCCGTTAGGAGCCTTGCTAGAATTCGAGCTTTGAGGTCCGCAGCATCTACGAAATTGGCCTTTCGAATGTAAATGGTACCACTAGAATGGAATCTCAAGCAGACCTGAGTGTAATGAAATAATTCGGGTTGCTACCATTAATGGATGACATGCGTTTCACGTACTTTGTGATGCACCGTACGCGCTGGTCTACTCCGGATCTTCTCCGCGACTGACTGATCAAGTCACGTGCAACACACATCTTGGCAAAAACTTCCCAAATTCATCTCTTACCTGCGAATCGCAATTCTGAACTTTTTGTTTCGTTCGACCAGTCAAGACAATTTTCCAACAACCCTCGAGAAAGACAGACCACCTTTCGCACTCGCCATGCGTAAGTATCGTCTTCTTGAGAAGCATAGGCGCGGCGGCTAATATGTTTTCTCTTCAGCTCCCAAGTTAGACCCCAACGAGATCAAGATCATGTAAGGACATCCCGCACAATGGTTATTGAAGATATTCGAAGGAAGGCTAACAAATTTGATAGCCACCTCCGTGCCACCGGTGGTGAGGTCGGTTCATCAGCAACTCTCGCTCCCAAGATTGGTCCTCTCGGTCTGTCTCCCAAGAAGGTCGGTGAAGACATTGCGAAGGCTACTGGCGACTGGGTTCGTACACAAATAAAATATACGCTGCGACCGGATTACTGATTCGGATTAGAAAGGTCTCCGGGTCACCATCAAGCTCACCATCCAAAACCGTCAAGCCGCTGTCTCCGTCGTTCCCTCCGCCTCTTCCCTTGTCATCAGAGCTCTGAAAGAACCTCCCCGTGACCGAAAGAAGGAAAAGAACATCAAGCACTCCAAGTCCATTCCTCTGGATGAGATTTTCGATATCGCACGAACCATGCGTGGCGCGAACAAGTCTCTTTCTCGGGAGCTCAAGGGTACTGTGTTGGAAATTCTAGGAACAGCCTTCAGCGTTGGTTGCCAAGTTGATGGCCGATCACCAAAGGAGATCAGTGATGAGATCAAGGAGGGCAACATTGAGGGTGAGTCGTAGCCCTAAAATTCTCTGATGAAATCTCTAACATGTTGCAGTTCCCGAAGAGTAAACTATCAATGCTGAAAATTCTTAAATGAACACTCGGCGTGATGATACCCATGAGCATTTTCTGAACATGAAAACAATATGAACCAGAATTCTCCATCCCCTTCCCGTTTCATTACTTTTCTCCCGTCCATCTACGTTGATGTCAGAATTGTGGGAGGTCCTCATAAACCCCCATTTCCCACCTATGAAACCACCTTTGCCAACACTCTGGCCTTTATCCCTCCTCTCATTGCGATTGGAATCATTCCAGGATTTGGGCCTATTTTGGTGCAAAGAAGATCAAACCATCTTCTGACACGATACTCACCGCGGCATTCGATCTTTCGGGGTCAATGGATGCAGTGGTCCATCTTTTCTGTGTCTACAATCTCCCGCCATGATGGGCATCTGGTGTGGTCATAGTACAATCAGCAAGCTTGTCATGCATTCAATGTCCTTCTATATGCTATTGCTTGCCCAATTCTCATACATTGCACACGTGCCTTCTATTATTTTCCCGCGGTGGTGTTGATCATCGTCTAATGTCTTCCAGAACTCGATCAACCATGATCTGACTCGCCCCCAGGTAATTCAATGGGTTACACAACTCCTTCACCTTCTTCCCATCCAAACTCCCCATCAACTCCTCATCTTTCTCCAGCACATCAATCAAACTCCTGTCCTGCTCAATCGCCGTCCGACACGCCTCATAAACCACGTCATGTGCCTTCTGCCGTCCAACATACGGTGCTAGCCCCATCATGACCGCCTCGCCCACGATCAAACCCCTGGTTGAGTGCAAGTTATCCCTCATCGCACCACTGTTAACCACCAACCCACCCAGCGCAAAGTTTGCCTGATGCAAGCTTCCCACAGACAGCACGAACGCCTCAGGAATGGCCACCCACTCAAGGTGCCAAGGTCCGGATGCCCTTTCGAAATCGACGACCATCGCATCAAGACCGAGCCCTGCGTTGGCTCGAAGGAGCTTACTCGCGGCAAGGATGACCTCGCTCGAGATCGGGTTCCTTTTCTGTGGCATCGTTGAACTCGCGCCTCGGTGCGGGACAAACGGCTCGCTCACTTCGCCCAACTCGTTGGACGACATGATGATGAGGTCGTAAGCGATTTTGCCGAGCGTCCCGCCGACTAGCGCGAGAAAGTTAAGGATTTCGGCGATGTTGTCACGCGCGACGTGCCATGTTATCGGCGGGTCGAGCAGAGAGAGTTCTCGCGCGAGTTCGGCGCGGACGCGAGGTCCATCGTGGGTGCCGAGTGAGGCGAGGGTTCCTGCCGCGCCACCGAATTGGACCATCAATGTGCGCGCCTCGATCTCGGACAGGCGTTGAAGGTGCCGCAGGATGGACGACAGGTATACGGCGCACTTGTAGCCGAAGGTGCAGGGGAGAGCGTGCTGGAGATGTGTCCGACCGGCCATAGGGCTACAACACAGGTCCACAGTCAGCACCCATTCCGGAAGCATGAGACCCTTTTGACTTTTGGCCCTGGAAATCGTGAAGGGACATGAAAGAGACAGCAACGCTACTGCATCAGGGCAGCGGGGCAGTGAAGATATCAAACAGGACGGCAAGCCAAAGATAGAAAACGGATGAAGGCGACTCACGTATCCCTATACTTCTCGGCCAACTTCGCCAGCACGCCCTTCAAGGTTTCCAATTCCCGCCGAACAACCTTGAGTCCCTCGCGGATCTGCAATATTGACGCATCGTCCATGATGTCCTGCGTCGTGGCACCCCAGTGGATGTACTTTGCGTGCCCGGGGGGTGTTTGCTCCACGAGCTGTCGGACCAGAGGTAGGACAGGGTAGCCGACTATGTCTGTTTCCGCGGACAGTCGGTCGAAACTACACTTTTCCAAGCATTGAGCTCAGCGCTCTTCCACTTTATTAAGACCACAAGAGGACTTGGGGTGTGCCAGGTACAGTACTTAGGTAGCCACGTAGATAGGGCAGGATTGGAGAGGGAATGTGAAATGGAAGTGGATAAAATAAGAATACGTACTCAATCTCGACATTTTTCAACGCTTCGGTTATGACACTGCCCGCGTCGCTTGGTATGACACCGACTGTACTCTCCGCCCTGGCGAGCGCGGCTTCGGTCTCGATGAGTCGGTGCACGTATGCTTCATCAGTGAATATGTCACGAATTTCCTGCGTGCCGAACAGGTTGCGGAATACGCGTGAGTCGAGGGACGAGACCGACATCCTGACGACCGCAGCATAGAATCGTACCTATATTCTTCTGTGAGAGTAGAATAATGGCTACACTTAAGGTAGGCAGTGATCTCCAAATTTGCCTAGATCTGCTGTTGTGGTCGGACACATGCCGAGCCACACCGGCCTTTATATTTCAATTGGGATTCCTGGGAAACGGATTTAAATAGTATTCCATCTTTCTCTCCTTGTCGCTCAATGTGTGGAGTTTGGAGTGCAGAATTGGGGAACAGCGGCTCACCTTCTAAGTTACTTCCGAGGCTTCCTGATGTATCGAGGTATCCCTAAGCCTTCACGCCTTTTAACTAGTCTTCCCTTTTCCTTTTTATTTACTCCGTACAATGTTGACTTTCGTTGACTCTAGATGACAGAATCTATCGAGCTATTTAAGATACTAAGGGATGCTAATTTAATCCCTTTTCACGCGGGACTGAGACTCCAAGGATACAAGTACATGACGGCTCCCGAAGGTTGTCACGATTCGAAGAAATCGTCTCGCCATGATTCAACATGGTTTGCCTAAATGGCCTGAAGTCTGTCCAGATACTCGGGAGATTTCATCAGATATCAAATGAACTGAGGACGACCAGAGCTCGACAACACATCAAGCCACCATACCCTCCATGCTAGGGTTTCCGCCCAATGAAGGTCGCCATGGTGTACATCAAGCATTTCCCGCCTGCGAGTTCCGCAGCCAGCTGGCCTCGAGCCTTTTCCAGCTCGTGCACGTCCAAGCCTATTTCTTTCCGATGCACGAGCGTATCTAATATCTCTTCGCACGTCCAGAAAACAAAGTCAGTCTCCTGCTTGAGGAGATAGGGGATGCTCGGGGAGCCTGTTCTTTCGACATCGACCAACCCGTGGCGCTGAAGGTTGGTTGTGAGATTGTCAAAGTTCTGCTGTGTAGAACTGAGCAGTGCCGTGTATTTTTCGAGCAATCTGAAGTAATCGGCGCTGAGCGGCAAGGGGTTGAGGGATTGATCCACTTCCGCGAAGCATTGCGAGACGCATTCGTACCATTGAAGGTAGCCATTGGGCCCTAGAAGAGTAACTATTAGCCCACGGCACGCCAGGGCACGCCCCAGCTAGCAGATGGGTACGGAGTCGACTTGACAGCAGGATGAAGATGAAAACTTACTGAGCATCTGGATAAGCTTCTTGATAACTGCATCTCTACCACCGTTGATCAGTGGGGCGCAAATCGCCCTGATGTGGACGACATCGAACCTCCCCACGAGTTCTGGGGCAAGGGGGTTGAAGAAGTTCCATAAGCCGAATTCAATATTTGCTGGGCGTGTCCAGGCCGGGGGGTATTGCTCGGCGGATATATCAAGAGCAAGGACTCTGGCGCGCGGATACTCATGGGCCAGCGATAGCCCTACAACCCTGAGCTGTTTCAGTGCTGTTGCTTTCTCGATGTTGTAGGGTAGTGGGCTTACGCATTCCCTGCAGCAACGTCCGCAATCTCTAATGACTCCCCATGCTCTTCGACATGTCCAGCAATTTTGGGGTGCAGCAAAAAGCCATTTTTCAGGACGAAAAGAGCGTGTTGCGCTGTAAGTCTGTGAAACCGTTAGCGAATTCGAGGACTCTAAAGTACCAGGCACCTAGGACCAGGTCGTAGTTCTTCACAGACCGGGCAGACGACATGTGATTGCGGGATAAAATATACCCGTCACTGGGTGTGGGAACAATGCTCCCGCTGCCCATCTTGTTGTCGGTCTACAATTTGTCGTACTACCAAAAAGACAATGTCTTCTGGAGGTCCCGGTATGCTACTACGCCCTGGTTTTATACTCGTGAAGTCAGCGTCTGTCCTCACGGTCACACGTCAGATAGGTCGAGTATGAAGCCGGAAACCCACACTCCTCGCGCACACTCCGGTAAGCAACACTCCTCGTGTACTACATACTGACATACCTCCATACTGACATGCCTCCATACTGACATGCCTCCATACTGACATGCCTCCATACTGACATGCCTCCATA